ATGATTCATCTAAAATCACGCTATGATGTCAACTTATCCTGATCAAAGTCAAATCAAGACTCTGCATGCAAGAATCAATGGCAGTTATGATCTAGGTGTAATTGTGATTATCACACATGGGAAGGTTAAATATAGGATCTGCTACACGGAAGTGAGTTACATGGAATTTGTTGTTCCACTTTCGCCATCAGAAAATTTAACAAGATCTTTGTAATCATTAAATTTAAAACAAGACAATTAAAAAAGCGAGCCGCTATTCACCACTCACCCAGTTGCATCGGATGGACACTTTCGCGGATTTTGATTCACGCCCACGATCTGTCGTCCACCGGAATGATGCACCGATTTTGCCTCCTAAATTCCAGCCTTTCCCTTCCGCACTTCCTTTGTCTACATTGGTGCCAGCGAGTTATGACTATCACTCTCTAATTATTTTATTTCCACATCCATTCCATCCCGAAAAGTGCGCAGGAGGACTAGCGGCTCCGTTAGAAAAGTTTATCGTCAGTGAACGACACTAACAATAAACTCATAATTAAACGTTGTCGCTGAGGTCTTACATGGAGTAAGAAGCCATACTTCCAAGTAACCATGTGCATTGTTTAAAATCTAGACCAACTGAACGAGAAATGTCCATCACTCATGTAACGTGGAAAATATATTCTTACAATAATAGTCCATCAATTATTATGTCAAGTTGATTGAACTCAGATAAGAATCTGAATTCATCACTGTATCATGAGAATGTGTCTATATAATTGGATATTTTGCGGACTGCGCTGTATAATACCAAATGTATAATACAACGCTCAGAGGTCCACCTAATTTGAAGATTTTACCCTCATCTATCATCTTCTCCTCGGACTCGGAGTATAAAACGAAATGTATTATACAACGTTCAGAGTTCCATCTAATTTGAAAATTTTACCCTCGTCTATCACCTACTCCTCGGCCTCGAAGTATAATACGAAATGTATTATACAACGTTCAGAGTTCCATCTAATTTGAAAATTTTACCCTCGTCTATCACCTACTCCTCGGCCTCGAAGTATAATACGAAATGTATTATACAATGTTCAGAGTTCCATCTAATTTGAAAATTTTACCCTCGTCTATCACCTACTCCTCGGCCTCGAAGTATAATACGAAATGTATTATACAACGTTCAGAGTTCCATCTAATTTGAAAATTTTACCCTCGTCTATCACCTCCTCCTCGGCCTCGAAGTATAATACGAAATGTATTATACAATGTTCAGAGTTCCATCTAATTTGAAAATTTTACCCTTGTCTATCACCTCCTCCTCGGTCTCGAAGTATGATACGAAATGTATTATACAATGCTCAGAGTTCCATTTAATTTGAAAATTTTACCCTCGTCTATCACCTCCTCCTCGGTCTCGAAGTATAATACGAAATATATTATACAACGTTCAGAGTTCCATCTAATTTGAAAATTTTACCCTCGTCTATCACCTCCTCCTCGGTCTCGAAGTATGATACGAGATGTATTATACAACGCTCAGAGTTCCATTTAATTTGAAAATTTTACCCTCGTCTATCACCTCCTCCTCGGTCTCGAAGAAAAATACGAAATATATTATACAACGTTCAGAGTTCCATCTAATTTGAAAATTTTACCCTCGTCTATCACCTCCTCCTCGGGCTCGAAGTATAATGCGAAATGTATTATACAACGCTCAGAGTTCCATTTAATTTGAAAATTTTACCCTCGTCTGTCACCTCCTCCTCGGCCTAGAAAATATCTTCATCATGCATGCTCATGCATGTCAATTCCCTTGGAAACAACAACTTCCCTGCGCATGTTCTGAAACTACTTTAAGATATGAAAAACCAAAGCTCGAGAGGAAAGGAACTTGAACACAAGAAGATGGTGTTCAAGTTACTTTTGTTGACTTCGATTGTAGAGACTTTTTTTCTTTAACCTGTGAAATGGAGATAATATTTCTCGCACAGGTAGTTAGTTTCATTCCGGTGTAACGGAAACAAACGTCAAAATCCACTTGTTTGCGGTCCTGGGATTGCAAACAAGTCGCATGACCAGTATTTCATCCATTCATTCCTCGCGTGACAACTTGGATCTTGAACTTAATTCTTGATATTAAAACCCTTCTTGGAATTCCAAAGAAGACAACTAGACAACCCCACATAAATATGATAGTGGAGGTCGAGTCTCCATATGTTAATATTTTGAAATCTCACAATTCTGCTAATTGGTTTACTACAGACTTTTAATTGAACAATTATACAAGATATGATTTGGAAGTACTGTATAATACAGCGGTGTAATACCACATGTATAACACCACAATTGTACATACACACCCATAATCATGAGACAGTTTCTTTCAACCTTGGGATCGAGATATCTTTAGAGATGGTCTTATATTCTTAGATTTAAATTGAGAAGTATCAATGTTGCTATTTCTTTGACAGCTTGGAAAGTAGAAATAAGAATTAGAAAAACAATCTTATCCCATACTCTCTATAACCACTCATTATGCGGATGATCATACCTGACTGTCACGGGGATGTAACGCTAAATAATTACAGGATGCGGTTCTTTTCTAAGTCCGCAATAAAGCCAGAAAGTTGGCTAATATACTTCATATCTCTTCACAGTAATATTAAGGTTTAATTTTACTTTCCACACGAATGTGATAATGATTTATGTTTATTTTCATCAGATATTAATCCTTATAATTTCCACAATAATCAGTCTGCCTGTTGTTTAGACTTCTGTTGAAATCCTTATAGATCTCTCTCTATGACATGGGATTTGTTGCCCTATGTCATGGCTTGGTTGCATCCATAACCGCTCAAGATTTACCCTTCGATAAAAAAGCCACCTATCAAAACGTCAGATGTAATTTTCTGAACATCTATCCTTGCAGGACTCCAAAGAGCAGGGGCTGATAATTAGATTCAATAGATAGAACTTGATGACCTTTATTTTATACACTATCTGCCTCCTTTCACTAAAACTCAACACCCTCTCTTTCAGTTCATAGTTTCTGATTAATTTGTAAACAGATCTTGCTCTTCAAAGCAGAGAATGACTGACATCGACAAACAAGACTTCATAAACTTAAAGCACTTGTTTACTCCTCACTCCTGTTAAATTTGACTCCAAAAGAGATGCAAAGAGTCTCTTTCGTAAAATGGCCAAAAATTCAGTGTACAGAAGTCAAACAAGCCCTCAAAGATACACCAGCTTAGAACGGATGCCAACAATTCAAAGTTCACTGCACAACATAAGCTAAATTGTTAGGAATGGACTGTCTGGATAAAAACATCGACTCGTTAGTAAAGTCTAGGTATTTTTCGATTATAGATAGAGGAAAAGTGCTTATTGTGAAACTATCGAAGTACGCGTCCACAATAAGGACGATATCGACAATAATTTCATAAAGTTGCGCTGACTGTACCAGCATTTCACTCTATTTAAATCTACAACAAGAAATTTTTTTCGATGATATTAGAAATCAGCTGAAGTATGAATATGAAAGCTGAAGTAACAAAATCCTTATACGGACAACTATTAATTCACCTCTCTCTCTTTCTACATATATATAGTCTACTGATTTGATTGATTTTTTTCTTGCTTTCACATTTGTGCTTGATGGAGCAATAACTAGATGTAGATCCAGTGAGTGGTAAGAAACAAGAAAGTTTAAGCATATGATGAAGTTATAGCTTCCCTTCCATCAGTTTATTTTTGAGACCAACACCTGTAGTCTACAGTCAACAACTACGAAGGCGCTGTAATTTCATCGTTTTGTTTTTTGTTCAGCAAGATCGGAGGTCTACTGTCCACAACTATTCAACGAATGAGGACACTGTACGTCTATGCTAACCGTTTGTCACCGACATGAGTTCCGATGACTTTATTTAAAATGAGACCATCTTGCTTTCAGTGACTTTTGATGTCCTCAAATCTTAACGTGAGACAGAAGACACATTTTCAACAGTACTTTGGACTATTCACTTCCCATGCAGCTTGATCGGGTGAGGATTTCCCTCATTTTCCTCACATCCAATCGGATATCATGGATTGCGGATAGATGTTCCAAAAGATAGTTGCACTAAATGGGAGACTGAACGTCTTCAACAATCATCTTTTGCTTCAACTAACCTTAAACCTATTGTTCGAGTCATAGAGCTATTCTGGTTACGTAGAACTTACCGTTCATGCAAAATACAATGAAAATCTCCGCACGACTTAATGCAACACTTAAAACATCATCGTCTATACTAAACTAGTTCGCCATCCATGTCGATGTCGAAAGTTGGTACGACATAGATATAGAGTATGATCTTGCTGTAACTGAACAATAAGGATTATATATATTTTTGCATAGATGTAGAGTATGATCTTGCTGTAAGTGAACAATAAGGATTATATAAACTTTTCCATATTCTTAATTGCTGTAATGAAAGCTGAAGTATCATAAATATGATTTTTGGACCTGGACATGATATATATATTGTGAGATATTTTGAATGGGATTCTGGATGTCATCTTTGATTAATTTATCTCAATTCATCCTGAGTTGTTAAATTCACCCCCTCACTCTAATACGCTCTGAATTCCTCGTGTGAGGGAGAAAGCCTCCACGTTTTGAAGTAAAATAGAAAGTAAATCCAAGTGAAATGTCAATTACTTCACAGACCGTCGACAAATGCTTGACAATCGAAGGAAGGAGACAGAGATTAAAGTTCTGCAGGTTTAGTTTGTTTGTAGTTAGCTCCCTCCCTCTTTGTACTTTGCTTTCGGTTGTACAAAGAACGGCTCGTGAAACAGTGCAAGTGCAAGGGAGATGAGGAGACATTCATTAGAGACTTGCTCAGAAGTCGATAGAGGAATCAACCCGCGAAGGGTTAATTTAACAACTCGGGGTGAATTTAACAATACCCTTCATCTATCTATCTGATTCACTATAAAATCTCCTCCACTCACAATCCGGACCAAAGCTTCTGCTCTTTCAGTCACTTTCAGTCAGAGAGATTTTGCTGTGCATGGGCTGGATGCGAGAAATGGACTCACTCTCGACCATTCTCAGAGTACGTGTTCATTTGAACATGTACTTAGTAGAAGCGGGAAAAAATCAAAGTACATTCATGAATCATTGCCAGCCTCTGGAGGTGGATTCCGTAAACTTCGAAAGAATGGACAACCTTGAAATAACTTTGTTAGAAGTTGCCACAAGTTCTTTAGGCTTATCCGAAAATCACGAAGTCTCTCGTCTGAGCATTTCTACTAGATCTTCGGAGCACATCTCGTCCACTACAGGTGGAGACCTATGTGCATTTTTTTTTTCTTTGGCAACAAATATTTCAATGTGTCTCCACATACTTCGATTCTCAACATGTTATCACAAGTTGGAAGGAGGAGTGAACTCCTCAATAGATGAGAGAGGTTTTGATACGGAATATCGTTGACTCAACTTACACAACCTCATGCTGAGGGATTGTGTGGTCGGTAAGTATACCCTGATTATTCAGCTACGCACTACAACTCCAGTTAAATCAGTTAAGCTTCCAGCGTATGTTGGAAGGTTGTTTGACTTGGGAAGTGTTGTCAACGGGAGGATTGATCTGATAGTGATGGTCATGTTTGTAGCATGATGGGCCTACAAGAGGTTGTATGCGATTGTGCGATGATGTGTTCTTTAACAAAGTTGATTTTAGTTTAAAATCACGAGCTGACAATGATGTTTTTATGTGAAACAAATATTGTTTAGAATGAGATAGCAAGAACTCATCGTATGAGATCAACGTGATATTGATGTTAATCTCGAGCTGACGATGATGTTTTCATGTGAATTTTTTTTTTTTTCAATGAGATAGTAAGAACTCATCGTGTGAAATCAAAGTAATTTTGATGCTAATACCGAGCTGACAATGATGTTTTCATGTTAAACAAATATTTTTTTGAATGAGATAGGAAGAACCCATTGTGTGAGATCAAAGTTGATTTTGATTATAATAACGAACTGACAATGATGTTGTCATGTGAAACAACAATTGTTTTGAGGAAGATAGGAATAACTCATTGTGTGAGATCAAAGTTGATTCTGATTTTAATCCCGGGCTGACAATGATGTTTTCATGTGAAACAACTTTTTTTGAATGAGATAGGAAGAACTCATCGTGTGAGGTCGAGGACGAAGTATTCAAGTGATAGCGACACTTCCCAAGTTCACGAGCAAAAAAACACGGTACAAGTGGACGGTTCTCAAGCTTGCTGATTTTGACGCCTGAATAAATGGCGTGTTCTGCAAGTGGTCATACTGGTTGCAGTATCGACGAGATTGTGTATAAAGCAATTTTGGAAGAGTGCTCTGAACAAGGGCAATGCGTTCGACCAAAGAGCTCGGATAAGTGGGACGATCGATTGAGCTCAAGGATAGATTACGGTGTGGGAATCGCTACACAAGCTCAGATACAAAGAGGAGGAATGAGTTATCGATGGTCGCGGAGTCGGAAATGATCGATGTCATCATTCACAAACTTCAGGTGAAGCGTATTGAATAGAGCAAGCACAGGACAATGTGATCCAATTTGGATTAATAAATGCAACATATGATTGAAGATGGTAGCCATTACACTTTGTATGAGGAATGAGGGATGAAATTTGTTAACACATTATATGCATAATAGGTCTGTTTAAATACTGGAGCAATCTACCTTAGATTTACTAAATTGCTCTAGAGATTCTATGTTCGTTTCTAACACGAGACGACAATCAGCATCAATGTATGAATATGAGCCAAGTTGATTTTTCGTCCACCTATTGACGGACAAAAGAATTACGGTCCTGGATCATAACTGCCACTAGTTTCATTACCCCGCGGATCCATGAACTTGATCTGTAGAGCAATCTTTGGTGAATCCGGGCCCACCAAAAAAAACGTGTGTTCCCCAGTCGGGTTTGGAGACTATCGTGTGATTATAAGCAACCACGTGACAGCATCTAGGATATGAGGAGATGGAATGAGGGTCGGACACCCGATGGAGTCCCTTGTCACGAGTGATAACTTCCATGTTTCTCACGTAGGCAGCCTTTCGGAATCCAGCGAGAGATGGATGCTGGCCACTTCCCATTTGTGTAGAGGTGTAATGACCAGGCTGGTGCCAAATTTCTCCTCCCCAATCAACTCTAGTGGTACTTCCGCTCGTGAAGTTGAAGGCACCTGGACCTAAGAGTAGTTTAGGCCAGTAACCAACAAATTCATCATTCAGCCGCAACCACCAATTTCCCGATGATTTATCTAGGAAAATCCCAATCTTGATCTCAAACTGAGTCGAGTCCATCGTGGACACGGCTGCGAAAGATCCTCCAAGAAGCACCTTATTGCTGGTCTGCACAAATCCGGGGCACTCTAGATTATAACACCCTGAGCTGGTATAGTTATCGGTAGTCCAGAATGTAAAAAGTCGAGGCCTTTTATCAGCGTAAAGATCCTTGTATATTTGCCAGCCCGCTTCTAAGGAATGGCTAAAACCATGTTTGTCTATCGACGCAACCCAGACTTGTGCCAAACTAAACTCTTCGTCCTCTACATAGGGCTGCCATACATTCAACCGACCTTGAGTCCCAGTGTAAGGACCAGCTATGCTCGCTACGGCGTACTTATGACCATTGTGGTCTTCTGGCCACAAAGCATTCGAATCAGATTGCGTGGGGTTCGGGAGATTTCTTCTCATGTAAGCCTTTCTACCAGGTCTGATCGTGAGAGAAGGCTTCCCTGTTGGCCTGCGAGTTGGCACTCGACCAGTGCCACAGGAGCGCTTTTCAACTTTCAAAACCTGCTGAGCTTGTTTGATGGAAGAATCTCGGGTGGAAGACAAGTCCCCTTCTTCTTCCGAATCCCTGAAACCCATGGAGGGACCGATGTGCCAGGTCGCTGCAGGATACAAATCTCTGAAGGGAGTACATGTGACTTTATCTCCATCGGAGAGTATGAAGGGTGAATCTCGAGGCAATTGGTTCATGAATATAATGGTCAGAGATGGCATGAGCGTAATGTACGCGAAGAAGGATACGCACGCCCATCCAAGCTTGTGAACAGTCCTCATGGCGATCAGATGAAGAGTTGAGAATCCTTTCAAGATTCTCCACTCCCATCATCTCATCTCATCGTTTCGGCCAAGGCTTTAGGCAGCACTGAATGCTCAGTCTTCCTACAAGGCCACTGTTACCGATGATGCTGCTCCCATGAAATGCCCCGAGCATAAATTCCCAAACATATCACATCTACTTCTCCACCTCGGAATTTGACAATCTCTGCTAGGAAATCCTGCCCTTGATCTGTCCTGCACCATACTACGACTCCGAGAAGTCGACCGTCTTGTCAATTCCACCAGGAGATGGATCGCTTCCTCGATCAACAACGAAGCCAAAAGCTTGGTCCTCGTTCTTATGAACGGAACTCGATCTCTGCGTCAGTGCTCGACAGCCGCCGGGCCCAAGCCGCGGCGGAACTATCCCGACGCAGTTTGCAGAGTTTCCGTTGTATTCCTCGCCAGCGCCAGCTCTCCATGAAGCTTCGAAGGTCGGATCTGCTTTTGAAACTCGAAGTCTGCAGGCCGCGAAGCTCGATGTGATGATACGTTGAGCCAGACTCTCTCTCTCTCTCTCTCTCTCATTGCACAATTAGAATTTGCTCTGAGAATATCTCAGACTCAGACTTCTAACTCTTTGCTCTGAGACTCAGACTTCTCTCTCTCTCTTTGCTCTGAGACTCACTCTCACTCCCTCTCTCTCGTTACTCTCAGACTCTCTCTCTCTTTGCTCTGATACTCAGACTTCTCTCTCTCGTTGCTCTCAGAGTCTCTCTCTCTCTCTTTGCTCTGAGACTCACTCTCACTCTCTCGTTGCTCTCAGACTCTCTCTCTCTTACTCAGACTTCTCTCTCTTTGCTTTGATACTCAGACTTCTCTCTCTTTGCTCTGAGACTCAGACTTCTCTCTCTCTTTGCTCTGAGACTCACTCTCTCTAGTTGCTCTCAGACTCTCTCTCTCTCTCTCAGACTCAGACTTCTCTCTCTTTGCTTTGATACTCAGACTTCTCTCTCTCTCTTTGCTCTGAGACTCAGACTTCTCTCTCTCTTAGACTCACTCTCTCTCGTTGCTCTGAGACTCTCTCTCTCTCTCTTTCTTTGCTCTGAGACTCTCTCGCTCTCGTGTTCGTTGCACGCTTCGAGTTTGCATTGAGACGTTAGAGGTGCATCCGATGGGGATTTGTTCTGATACTCTCTCTCTCGTTGCACGTTTCGAATTTGCTCTGAGACTCTCTCTCTCTCGCGCTCGCGCGTGATCGTTGCGCGGGTCGAGTTGGCTCAGAGACGTTACGGGTGCATGCCATGGAGTGTGGGCAAGCGAGCTCAAGTGGTGAAGGTGTAAGCTCAATATATGGTCAAACTCCATGTCGAGAGAGTCTTTTGCATTCGAGACTCTCTCGTCGAGCGGTGCACTTCGCGTCCTCCTTCTTCTGTGTGACACAGAGAGAGAGAGGCAAAGGAGTTGTTCTGTGACACGCAGAAAGCATCGATCTTCTGCGCGAGCGAGGTCGTGTTTCTCGTTGTGAAGCTTAGTGTACGCATCTGCAGTTGATGTCAGTGAGTTGTTGACGGCGAGCTCCTGACTCGCTTCTTTTTCTGTGTGAGAGAGAGGCAGAGGAGTTTTTCTGTGACACTCAGAGAGCATCGATCTTCTGCTCGAGGTCGTTTCTCGTTGTGAAGCTCAATACACGCCTCTGCAGTTGATGTCAGTGAGTTGTTGACGGCGAGCTCTTGACTCGCTACTTTTTCTGTGTGAGAGAGAGGCAGAGGAGTTTTTCTGTGACTCTGAGAAAGCATCGATCTTCTGCGCGAGGTCGTTTCTCGTTGTGAAGCTCAGTATACTCCTCTGCAGTTGATGTCAGTGAGTTGTTGACGGCGAGCTCCTGACGTACTAATTTCTGTGTGAGAGAGAGAGAGGCAGAGGAGTTGTTCTGTGACACTGGGAGCTCCTGACGTACTAATTTCTGTGTGAGAGAGAGAGAGGCAGAGGAGTTGTTCTGTGACACTGGGAAAGCATCGATCTTCTGCGCGAGGTCATTTCTCGTTGTGAAGCTCAGTATACTCCTCTGCAGTTGATGTCAGTGAGTTATAGACGGCGAGCTCTTGACTTACTAATCTCTCTGCGTGAGAGAGGTCTGGAGAAAGCATCGATCTTCTGCGCGAGTTCGTGTTTCTCGTTGTTAAGATTAGTGTCTGCAGTTGATGTCACTGAGTTGTTGACTGCGAGCTCTTGGCGTACTAATTTCTCTGTGTGAGAAAGGTCTGGAGAAAGCATCGATCTTCTGCGCGAGGTCGTGTTTCTCGTTGTTAAGATTAGTGTGTGCAGTTGATGTCACTGAGTTGTTGACGGCGAGCTCTTGACGTACTACTTTTTCTGTGAGAGAGAGAAGCAGTGGAGTTGTTCTGTGACACGGAGAAAGCATCGATCTTCTGCGCGAGGTCGTTTTTCAATGTGAAGCTTGGTGTACGCCTCTGTAGTTGATGTCAGTGAGTTGTTGACGGAGACCTCTTGATTTACTACTTTTTCTGTGAGAGAGAGAAGCAGAGTTGTTCTGTGACACTGAGAAAGCGTCGATCTTCTGCGCGATGGCGTTTCTCGTTGTGAAACTTATTGTCCTCCTCTGCAGTTGATGTCACTGAGTTGTTGACTATCATCTGCAACTTTTAAAGCAACTAGGAGCATCGTGGTGATTTGCATTTTAGATTGAAGAGTTTGAAAGGTGAGATTAAACATAGTAAACTTTTCAACATAAATATTGATTAAATACATAAAGAAATGGTTATAGAAATTTATTGGATAATTGTATTTGAAATGTTTTAAAAAAATCAAATATAATGATTACATTATTTCAATAATCAATCAACATAATTATCTAACTGAAAATAATAATTGAATTCATATTTTCAATATAATGTATTTCACATAAACTTTTTAAAATGAATAAATTGCAATAATTTATAAATATCATGATTTATTTCAGTGAATTAAAGATGATTTTCATACAATGTTATTGCGATATATTGCAAAGCTTTGAATTGAACGTAGATTATTAGCATATTGCATGCATTTTGGAATCACCATGCAAGCAATATGCTATCATGCTAGTTGTACACGAAAGCAATTCTTTCTTCACATTATCTGAGTAAAAAGTAGTCAGTGAATCAGATCGAACTCCATCAACATCATGGACGATTGGGACTTAGGCGACGAAATCTCTTTGAGCCACTTGTACTTCTCTGCCTTTCGTGAAGTGGAAGAGAATCCACATTCTTTCTCTGAGTATATTGCGAAAATATGCTCACCAACCAGGAGGTGAGCATAACACTACAAATTATGAAGCAAAATGTCCATCCAACATCATCATCGTGTCGTGTAAATAAACGTCCTTAATCTTGCTACTTTCTCACGTGGAATTTATTTTTTTGACTTTTTTTGCAAGTGTATGCTTTGATCAGGAAGGAGAAGACAGAAGACTCAACCGCCTGTAAGCCCTGGATCAGCAAAAAGCAAAAGGTTGAGGAGAATGAGTTATCGTCAACCGCTGAGAATTACAAGGCTACGAGCAATGCGGACATGGTGCATAAAGAGTTATCAAACGCTGACATGTGCAATGCTACGACTGAGGGGGACTTGTCACACATACAGATATCGTCCGACTCTCAAAAAGCCCAAATTCAGGATCTGAATCCAAGCAGGGAGCACAGCGGGGAGTCATCATTAACATCTAAGAGACAGAAGCTTCGAACTGCTGACGTTGATGACGGCCAACCAAAGACACCAAAGACACCAAAGACACCTGAAAACCTGAAGGTCAAACTCTTGAGATTCAGAGTTGCCATTGATATTCATTAAGTTTTTTTATAGATTACGAGAGTGAGCAAAGATCTTGTGTATTTTATAAATATAACCCGAGCACATGCTACGTTTTGGATTCTCCGTTCAAATCTCCTTTCTAGAAATAATTTCCTGAAACTAGTCTCAATGTCATGTATATACAGGATGAAAAGATGGTGGTTCTGGATGAGATGAAGAAAAGGAAGGGCAAGTGGAAAAAGATTCCAGGTGGGGAAAGAAGATGATCAAGGCCACGTTTTTTCCCTGAATTAAATAATTGGGTTTGTACTTGTTTGGTATTTTGGGTAGGAGGTGGAGTGAGTAATATTATCCTGACACAATACTACATTTGCAGCGGAGTTCTCACCAAATCTCTTAGATGGACGAAGTCTGCAAGACGAAAATACGGATGCCTATCATATACAGATGGCAGGTCCAAGTGTCAAGACGCCCTTGTGGTCCAAAAAGGTTGGCGCTTATCCTATTCTCTAGTGATTAAAGTTAAAGTTTTCAAATTGAAAATGTATGCATGAATTGAGTAATCTTTTTAGCCATCGTTTTGGCCTCTGTTAGAGTTGATTTCGGCCTGGGGTTTAAAACAACAAAGCCTTTTCTTGCTCTCCAGGAAGACAAGCAGCTCGGTCGTCTGGTGGCTTTGTACGGGACAAATTCTTGGTCTATTATTGCATCTTGTTTTCCTGGCTGGACTGACAAGCATTGTAAAGATAGGTGAGTGTTCACTTAAACTCAATATTCTTTCCAAATTCACTACAATGATAAAACTCATTATTGCAATGAACTTTTTTTAGAATAAACTTTTTGTGTAAAAGCTATCTAGGCGAAGAATTTAGAGATTCTTGACATTGTGCAATTTTTTTCATACAATCACTAATTTGAAATATCTTCACTTATCTAACTTAGATAATTCCAGATTAATACTTTGTTTTATCTGTTTATGAAACTACAATCTTTTGGCTATTTCTCAAAATTAAGTGATGTCTAATTGTTGGTATTTTTTTATATTTGACTTTTTGAAGATGGTGTGAATATCTTGATCCTTCCATTAAGAAAGGACCTTGGACGGAAGAAGAAGATAAGATTTTGAGAGTGGCTCATAATCATTATGGAAACAAGTGGACTTCTATAAGTAAGCTTATACCAGGAAGGTTAGTCAAAATTGTAGCATAATATTTTTTATTACTTTTATAATTCTATTTTACATCCTTCATCATCCAGATTTTGCAATTGGGGGAAAACTAACAACTCAATCTTAGAAGATTAAAACTTCCTGGAAGCTTATTTCAGGACCGATAACGCCGTCAAGAACCGTTTCTACTCCGCCATGAAGAGGAGAAGAAGAAATGCATCTGTACGCGAGAGAGCAAGAGATAGAGAGAAAGCAGCTTGGGAAGAAGAGATGATGAAAGTACTCAATTCTCGAGAAATGAACAGCGATGAGAATGATTCAGGGAGGGGAGTCGATCCCAAAGATACAGTGAACGAGCAGCCTCGGCAAGAATTACTCAATAATCTTCCTGTAGATTTGGTGGAAAATTCTGGACAAAATTATTCTGGCAATGAGGTGCAGGTGAACTTGGACCAGAATTTGGAGCTGGAACTCAACTCTGTCCACAATCTGTCTCCGGTAAGTACAAATTATTTCAAATTGAAAGGCATGTTGCAATTACCTCTGTCAAGTCTAGAGTTCTAAATGCCAAAACTTGTAAAGCTAACTGATTCTTATCCAGGTGATGAGTAATAAATAGAAGATGCTTTCACCTGCTTCACCCGGCTTCTTTCTTTCTATATATATATATATATATATATATATCTTCCTGTCATTGAGCGTTGAAGGTAATATAAGTTTCATGACTATCTTTTGATATGTAATATTATATATCAACTGATGTTCATTAGTTCTTCTAACGATTTATTTATAGGAGATTTGAAACACATGACACTAAAATTCTCTTATTTGTACTGACAGACTGATCAAGAATCAGTAACTAAACAGGTGGCTGGGAGCTACTCTAAGTCATCAGATACCGAAAGTTCTACTCGCAATTAGTTTGGACAGTATTAATCAAGAATCAGCTAGACTAAGTAGTCCCTTGAGTTCAAAGGTGATAATCGATTGAAGTGGATACCGTGTTAGACCTGTTACGGTAAGAACTCAGATGCAACCTACATGCCTTCATACCAGCGGCAGATAAACCGTTGAAATAACTATTATGTAGCATGGATGATTAATGTAAATGATGAAGTGGTTACATTGGTATTACAATTCAGATGCACCCTACTTTGGTTCATACCAGCTGCACATAGTATGATGGATGATAGATTGTATAATGGATGATAACTGTATATGCTCAAATGGTTACATTTTAAGAAATCTCAAACATGGGTTTAAGTCAAATGTAATTTACTATAAAATCATTAATATTCTAAATATATTTTAGAAGTAGAGTTGTGAGAAAATATTCAATTTATCAAATGGAATCATTAATATTCTGACATAATTGCTATATTAAAAAATTCAAAAAGAATTTTTAATATAACAATTATGTCACAATGATTTAATTTGATGACTTGGATATTTTTTCAGAACTCTACTTCTTGGATATTATTTAGAATATTATTGATTTTATGGTAAGTTGCATTTGACTTAAACCTATGTCAATGTCTCAGAATGGATATAATCCAGATGCAATTTAAGTAGTTTTAGACATTATAATTTTAGCACATTATCACTTCAACTCAAAGTTTGAAGTGATAATGTGTTTACAAAAAACATAGTAATTATAACAGACGCAAATAACAAGACTCCAATGTAGTTTCTATTTGCATCTGTTGTAATGTGTCTTTTGCAAAGACATCAACACTTCAAAACCTTGAATTGAACTAACATCATGTCTTAAGTTTATAAGGTCTGAAGCCACATAAACTGAATGAAACTAGCATCTTGTTTTAAGTTTGTCAATGTTTAACTTAAATTTTAATTGTCAAATTTGGGCTATATTGATTCCAATGATAGTTAGAGAAGATTTTTTTATTGGGTTTGTTGCATGAAAAATTTAAAACGTATTGGTTTTGATTACTTTGTATAAAATAAAAATCAAATTTTCTTTTTTCCTTACTTTTTGTATAATATCTGAATATAAATCAATGTATTTTTATGATTATTTGTGGAAAATTTAACTAGGATTATGGAATTGAAGGTATTCTAGACTCCTGTACTTTGGATGTAAACTTGAATACATTTATCAATTTTTTTGGTGGTAAGTGGATCCGAGTTCATTATGGAGGTTGGTGAACTTCGCAAGGAAACAGGTCGATATATCCGTTTTCTTGTACATATTGTTATTCACGATAAATAATTTATTATCTTGCACTGCGAACTGGATTTTGGTGTTCATTTTTAACATTTAATTTTTTTCTAATATTTTTACAAATTTGGATTATTAAATGTGATAGTATTATAGAAGACTCATTTTAGTGTTTGTAATACAAATAGAAATCTACTTTTTCTAAGGAAAGTAATATTAAAATGACTAGGCTAAAACTTGGAGCTCGACAGTTATCACATGTTTTCTATTATCCAATTTTTATCATCTATCGCATTATAGAAATCATTAAGTCAGATAGAAAATATAATAATGCCTAGGCATAGACCACCAGGTAGCATCATGCATGTTGAAATGAGAGACAAAAGTGAGTATTGAATCAAATTAATAAATTTAATAGTGATGATGAATTAGTAGTAATTTCAGATTCATCATTCTACACATAGTTGGAGAAAGTTCTTCTGTAATTAATACCAAAAAAATGAATCAAATGTTATGAAAAGAAAATGCAAACGTCGATTCAAATGTGTAAAATTGAAGTGAATCTTACCCCAATAGAGATAATATTGAAAATAAAATTATAACTTATGAACTTAAATTTTATTTATCATGAAATACATAAAAAATAATTTCATTATAAATTTCAGTTGTTGTTGCGATACGAATTTCTCTCATTTATACACTTGTTAATCATATCAAACCGAAAATTTCCCTTGCATAAATCTAAAATATTGCATGAATTCAATCATTCAGCTATTAATAAACATAGATTTGATGTCGAGAATTTCCATAAAATATAGTGATATAATTTTAAATAATATGGTAAAGAAGTACGTAGATATTTTCGTTGAGCTTAATGTAATCTTGGACAAAAAAACATTCACCTAGTTTTCTCAGTGAGATCAAAACTGCTAACCTATGGAAGCTTCACATACTTATATTGGATCGCTAATTCAAATTTTTCGTTCATGACATAGACTTCAATAATTTCAAAACTTAACCTACATGTCAGAATGACGTAAAATCATTGAATATTGAGGTTGATCCTATCGAAATTGATATAAAATATGAACGATCTCAATAAATTTCAAAAGTCGTTTTGATTTTGACATAATCTGAAGCTAGGGAAAGTTCTTGATAAATCGTATTCATCTCCACATATTAAACATATCACATTGAATTCAAATTTTCCAGCTTTGAGATATTCTGAATTGAGAAGTCTCTCAGTAAAGGAATATGGACCTTTGTAAAATCATGACAATTTGGTGTCCTTAATCTTTTGAATAAAATCATATTAGATTCTCATATTATCTTTATCATATCACATAATCTATCATCTTTTAAATATATTTGATTTTAAATTCTCTTAATCCCCATCATTATCTTTCCATATACTCTTCAAATTCGCTTCAATTCCCTAAAAATTTATTGTAAGAGTTTGATAAATCATATGGGCTTGGCGCTACCCAAGAACTTATGAATCACAACTGATTCTATATATATCGGAGGTCTACTTCCTGACCTTCGTGATCATGCGATTTAAAGTATTGAAGTTAATTTAGATTTCAGCGGACCTACAAACATTAGTATCTTCAACTACATCTGACTTTGACTCAGAATCAAGTTCTGTTTCCACTACGTTATGCTATACTCAATCTGTCAAGGGATTTTGCATTTTTTAATTTTAAAGGTGCCTTCGCCTGGCAACATTCCAAGTTCAGTTGTTCAACATTCTTTGATTCGGGGAATATCAATGTTTTTAAAACTATGTTTACATAGATCCTAGACCTGGAGATATATAAATTTGGAATATTTATGGTCATCTATGTCCCCAGTACTCGCTAATGTGATAGAGTTGATTTCAAAGCTGACACTTGCATCTCATTTGTCAAGATATATGAGATGGTGACTTCAGATTTGCCACTTTTGTCTTATTTACGTCCCTCGTAGTACAGTTGATCAAGACATGGTTGCAGTTTCATATTTTGTCGCTTTTTCAGATATGTTGGTTTATTCCTTTCCGAATTAAGTATTTGTATAAAACACATTTTTTGCTTCGACGTTAACAACTGTATGGCACATAACTTTGCTGCAATACCTAATTCCTCACATGTATAACGTACTATTGTCATTGACAGTTTTCTTTTCTCATACGTAACATCTAAATTTCCTTCATGCGTATCCTCTCTTGGACTTCGACTTCGTGCGGTCATTTTCTAAGTTAGTTAGTTGTACCGGATGATCAAGATGTCTAGGATCTTTTCTCTCAATCCTCGTAAAAGTATTCGGAAGTCATGGTGATGTCCTGTCATTGGGATGCCGAGTTTAAATTATTTTTTAATTGCATTCCAATAGGCCAAGCGGTATGTACGTAATGTGTACATGTCCTTTTTGTTTTGTTAACTTCGTTTTGTCTTTTCAGCCCGGCTATCACTTCGACTGTCCATCTTGGGTCGGTTGTCATGATCGATGGTTTGTGCAAGGATTTTAGAGTTTCTAGTCAATCTACTCTGTAACAATAGGTCAATATTCAGCTACTAACGTTAGCCATCATGATACAGTTCATGATGGCGAACAAAAGTCTGAAATAAAATATTCAACTAAATGTAATGAGGATATATCTATCTATATATATATATATATATATATATATATATGCTTGTAGTGCAGAACACGTCATGAAATAAGGCTGTCCCAAGTCTTCTTGAATAAAGCTTTCAGTTATTGATACTTTAAAGCTTTTACACATTCTAAGATTTTCCGATTAAGACTGAAAATTCAGAAGAGTATATCTGTCAAATTTTAACAAAGACAAGGAGTACTGTGTAGTTAGCAACCTCCTTCTTTAAGTGAGAAACAATCCAGCATACCATTTTGTTGGATGTGTAGTTCAAGGTGCATGTGATACTCTATGGATTTTGAATGCCTTCCTACACGTCGCGAAGCAAAATGCAAACAGATCCATTCTCATTTCTTAGTCTGATAAACGTAGACAGATTGCAGTATCACTCGAAATTGAAGTCTCGAATTGACATCTCTGCAGGTCCATTGCAAGTTACCTGAGGCGCCTTAATCAACCTCGGCATTTACGTGAAAGAGCTGTCCAGTTTCAGAACCTACTACTGCAATTTATCAAGTTTGCGTCACTCAATGTGGATTTTATTGTGTGCTTTTGTAATGAGCTGCTAGAGTTCAGTCCGGAGCTAGAACACCGATACTTGTTCAAGGTCAAGTCTGAGTAATAGGCTTGTATTAATTACTTCGTATGGAATTAGCTACATATTAATCAAGAAACTGTACACCGATGCGATCATAATAAAATAAAGCCATGCTAACATCCTCATTCTGACCTAAAAGCTATGACTTGAATTTGCTTCATACATGAGGGAGATGAGAACAACACAGTTTTGAGCTATCACGAGCTGTCTTTTATTATGTCGTTCCTATTAAGCTGATAGTTGCAACTGACTAGCAAAATCTAGACTGTATATATAATAATCTTCCTATTAGGTCTCGTTAGATGTACTTTGCTTCTAGTACTATTGAAATTTGGAATATGCATTTGATTACCACATCATGCATCATATCCAAGCGAATCCTATGCCTCTTCACCACTTGTATGTTGTGATCATAGTTTGACACGCATACTCTTCTTAGGCTTTTGGTCATGGACAAAATTACACAGTCTACTCTATTACTTTAAAGGGAGACAATTGAGTAGAACATGATGGCAAAGACATTATCTGCCTGACTAGTTTCAAGCATGAAAAAGCTTTTGATCCTCCGATACTGTCACCTCTCCGAATCTAAGGGGATCATTGAGGACTTGCTTAAATAACGGGCCAAAACTGTATGCTAGTTATTATAGTAAATTCTTGTACAAACTCGTTATGTCAAGCATACCAGAAGGTGTAGGATAATCCTGGATTTTAGCTTGATATTTTGCTTCAATTGATAGTGCCACAGCAGACTCGATATCTTTTATACTTTTAATTGACTTCCTAGACTCATCTCTTGCTCTTTCTGGACGACGAGCTCGGTCGGCACAATTTCAGTACGTTGTCATGATTGAGGTGATCAGTTATGTTTGAGAGAGCTGCGGCTATAATGTAAATAATATGTCAAGGGAGAACAGATCATTATGGTTCACATAAGAAAAGGTCCTATTCAAAAGTCCTATTCGAAAGAATCAGCCGTAGAAATAACCTGCTCACGTGAGGAGGTTCTTCACTGAAAAGTTTCCAGAAATTTTCTGAAGCATTCACACATTTCTTCTTTCAGGCATCTTGATATTTCTATTGATTGCAGGAATAATAGCTGGTCAAGTTCACTGAATCTGAGAAATGTTGATATGAAAGCCATGGGATTGCTTAGTTTCGATCCTTAGAAGCAGAAAGCAAACGATGCTTCCGTTTAAATTGTCCTTTTTCATGCATCTGAAAGCAGTCTGTTCACATATATAGAATCAAGTGATGTCCAATTAGATGTGTTGATATTGGTAGGTTGTTAAAACAATGAATGTATCTTCTAGCTGTGAGCCATTCGATATATATAGGTCAATGATCATTAGCTTTTTGTTCATCTTTCTCAGGAAGTTCTAATTCTCTTGTAGAGATCAAAGCACAATTTCCTGATGGTGGCGTTAGAGGTTATAAGAAGGACTGAACCATTCATATGCAATTTGGAAATATACGCATTTCTAAGTAAAAACATTCAGTTGATATCTTCAGATCAAATCGGGAACGATTTCTATCTTTAAAAATTTTAAGAAAGGGTTGTGCAACGAATATCAACATGGAATCAGCATTGTTTTGTAAATGAGAAGACTTAGAGGGATGGTGGGAAGATGGAAAGTGTGTCACATTTTTGAGATGCGCATCCGGTTTTTCCCGTGCAGTATTCGATTGAAAGCTAATAATTTAAAGATGCATGATACAGCACATAGACGAGGGTGCTCTGTTATGTTTTCAACATACAAGTTACGCTTCCTAAACTGATAAATAATATAAGGTAATGAAACCGCCAGCTTGTAACCCAAGCACCAACTAAGGTTTCAGGAGAGTCAGAAGAGTCGCAAGGTTCTCTTGCGACTCTTCAATTCTGAAATGACTGAAATACCCCGATGCTGATGGTTTAGGAGAGCCCCCTAATATCAACCAATATTGTATTCACGTTTCGTACCTTTCTCTGTATAACTGACGTTCAGGTCTAATTGAATTGAATCGCAACTGCAACTCACTTGAACAAACAAAGAGTTGACAATCTACAGTGTCACCTCTTTGTTATTGTAGTAAAAGAAACATATAACCGGAGTCTTTATACCAAATCATATATACGCTTTAATCCTTGAACTATAACGCATGGTGGCGTGAATTTTGTGTCGTGATATTTTTTAACGGTACAAGAACAGGTACAAGAAGGCCGAAATGGAACACCAAAAGGGGTATTGACCTCTTTCTGTAAGTCTTGCAGGTTACCATCGCTTTTCGAAATTTCGTCACATTCATCATTTCTTCTTCCCAGCTGCTTTCTCAGTACTCTCACACAATTCGTTTCCTTACATTATCTTTGATACATTCACAAATATTTTACAAAGGTACTCGGTTTATAATGCACTTGTTCATGATCTATTTCACGCTTTCTATAATCTCAAATGATATATATAGTGTACTTTTCACACCTTGCACAGGCAATTGAGCATCTAATTGATGTAAGCATCACAGTGTATATATCTGTTCTCGCTTACTGATTATACATTTCCTATAGATTGATCTCAATAGAATTCATGTGATGTGACCTTCTTGCATTGCATTCCCTACATTAATTTTTTTTTCTTGACTTTGTACAGATCAGGGGTATGGCCGGCCATATTAGTCAATGACTTCGTTTCATAGATAAAGATAAATTGATTTTCAGTGCTTTCGTTTCAAGCATTCACATTATATCGTCGTTTGACCTTGCTAGCACAAAAGCAATTACGTTGTAAATCTCTTTTCCACAATTTTGCAGATGCAAATCTACAAGAATAGATTACGGAAGTATAATGTGGCTACAATTTGATGAGGTATTTTTCACTTCCTCTTTTCTTGTCAGTACACCTAGTGTTGTATAGAAAAGTAGAACCCAGATGAAGGCTCCTCCAAAGGTACGGTTCGGGTAGGCGACATGGTCAGTCAGTAGATTGTTGACTTGGATTCAGTAGTTAATAGCTCTAACCTGGATGGCTTATGGCAGTTTACTGTGGAGTTTATGTGGTTTCCCAGGTTTATGCCCGGGGCATCTCGGCCCACACTGGCAGGTTCTTTTGAGGAGCATGTAGCACTAGTTTTTCTAAGATTTGTTCTAGTTCAAATATTTCATGCTTACCTCTTTGTATACTTGCTCTTTATTATGAAAAGTTTGGATTATGTTTTGGGCTTGATCTCTTGTTGTACCTTTCCTCATTCAACTCATCTACTTATCTTGGAAATAAATTTGTTTTCATTCCTGTATAGAAAACAAAAGATTTAATTTTATATATTGAACCTGGGATTAATCATTAGTATAGTACCTAAGATTTTTTAAATTTTATGATTCCTGTCGCTCTAAGGTTCTCTCTTACTCCTGCCAATCAGTTGATTCCGATTTTTTTCACCAGCATTGTTGGCTTGATATCCTCATCAAGGTTTGTATAGAAAAAATTGTTTTATTTTGTGCATTCCTCCGTTCTTTCCACTAAACTTTTGATCTATGAGTATTGGAGGCCACTGCACTCCAATCGTTTTTATTTTACATACATATATTGGCCTTTCAACTTCAAAGTTTATGAGATGAAAACCAAAAAAAAACTTCTCTGGTTAGTCAATGTCTGATTTTTCTGCCGTTTGATTATATTTTTCAGACTGGAAGTTATATTACTTTGTGTTTCCCAAACAACTTTCCTTCAAGGATATTTTCAGCCTTCCACACTAAAAGTAGGATGGATTCGTTCATCACTAGCATAACGGCTGATATCTGAAGCTCACCGACCACGAAACTCAAGGCGATAAGAAAAGATTTAAGGTGTAAAACCTAAAGTCTAAGTCTTTCTTGATTCTTTCTTACTTAGAGTGTGATCATTGATTCATTGTGGCGGAATTTGAATAATATATAGGTATATATAACATATTATCAATATGTAAACTGGAGGACTATGTCAGAAGTTAGTGAAGAATAGCATGCAATTTTCTTTAGTCATGTCCTCTCAATGTCAAATCAATTGCTCAAGGTTGAATGGAATTCAAAACAGTACTTAAATTACATGTACTGATGGATTTGTAACTGTAGAAGAAACATTATCATGTGATATCATGTGATATATATGTGATGCGCTTATCTACACCTTCAGTGTAATAAAGTGAAGTCTAACTTTATCGAGATATAATATGATTCAACCACAGTACACATGACATGATGTAAATCTATATCTATGCTGCATAAATCTGGAGCATTGATAGAAATATTTTACTTGACCTCCGGTATTAGCGCTTTTTACTGAGAAAAATTCTAAGCTATTAAAAGGCTCATTCTTTTGGATAGTAATATAGTTGTCTGGTTGAAGCTCATGAGTACTGCCAAAGCCAGAATATTCAATTCAACCTCAATCACTTTTAGAATATGGATCTCAAAGTTTATCAGTTTATGAATAGAGAAAGTTCATAGAACTATCAGTTTGGGTAGCCTTTCCAAGATATTTAAATAATAACATATCAGTCACCTTAAAGGCTTAAATGTGTGAATTATGTCTATCTTGATGTAGATGTGGCTGTAGATAGCACTTTCAGAGCAATTTTCATTTTCTGTTTTATCTTGGTTACCTACATGTATTAACTGCAGTTTTTTTTTTAATACTTAAATTATAGGAAAGAAAGATAACCATGTTACTTCCATTTTGTTATGTTGTAAATATTCGAAAAACCAATTTTTGATTTTTAATGAGTCATGAAGAGTTGAAATCGAAATTCTTCCTTCACTGATTAGAGATTGTGGTAAAGAAGAACTCATTCACTGTCAGATCAATCAGACTCTTCATGTAGCTGTCCATCAGGATAGGTTTATTACGGTATCTTGGTATAGTACTGGGAATATTCTAAATCCCAAGTCTTGTCGAGATATTAATTATATTTGATCCAATAGATACTTCTTTTCTCGTCCATGACTTAAGTAGATGTAAGTTACAGTTTTTTTCACGTCACATCATGTTACCATTCTTGCGTACGAAACTTTTAGGACAACCTTTACATTTGACTAAAAGAATACAGAAAGATGAATAGGCCTTGAAGAGTTCATTCGTAAGTAGTTGGCAAATACATCTGAATTCTTCCATCATTGATTAGAGATGGTAGTAGTTTTGAACTAGTTCACTGTCATATCAATTAGCCTCTTGATGTAGCTGTCCTGATGGACAGCTATGGATGGACATCACAGTGTCGTAACAGATCAGATCAGATGTAGATTCTAGGAACATTCTAGATTCCACTATATTCGGAGGTACTCATTTTTCAACCAATAGAAATCCGACTTTTCTCCTCCATGACTAAACTATATTTTTACGTCGAATCATGTTACCATTATTCTAAAAAGAAATTTCGAAAGATATGCATCATATGAAGGAATATAGAAATAATAACAGGCCTTGAAGAGTTCAAGTGTGAGTAGGTTGGCAAAACATATCAAACACCCCTTACTGTGTATATAAGCATAGGTAAGGAGGAGGTTCATCACTTCAAACATCGCCTCCCTCTCGGTCTCTCTGTCTCTCTCTCCATCCATACATCTCTCTGACTTCGATCCTCAGTAATTGCAATTGTCAGAAGGATGACTTCTCCAGGATTAGTGCCGATGCATTTTCTGAAGAAAACTTCTTGGACATTTTATCTGATCATTGTAAGTTCCTAGCTGCTGCCCGCATTGTCTTCATAGTACAAGGCTCACTCCAAAAACAACTATATCCAAGTGATATTCTCTGTCTAGTTGTTTTTCTTTTTGCAGAAACGAATGCTCGAGATCGTAAGTGTTTTCTAATAGTCTCATGGCTTTAACCTTCTTTGCAGACATTCTTCAGCTTGGCAGCTGACACAACGACCGCGATTCAGATATCGAAGCAATGGATGATTCCATCTAGTTTTCAGCAACTTCTACCCATAATAGCAGCAGATCCTCATGCCATCAAGCACATCCAAAGGGGAGAATTGTTTGGCAGTCAGGAGGAGGTGCTTCGGTTCTGTGAAGGAGGTGGATTGGTATGTGATGCCGACACGGATGATATCTATCAGTCAGCAATATGGTACTACTATAGAGGTGGTAAGAAGATATCTAAGTTGGAGACCACTGATATGAATACTGCCATAAACCCCCGGCTAGCTACTTTCATGAGGCAATTCTACTTTTTCGAGAAGGATCTGCCCGCCTTAGTCCTCCGAGCAAACTTTCTTCAGGCTTTGTCAAATGATTCAAGTCAAGCCCGTTATCTTCCAAAGTCGGTTGTTCAATTGCTGTTGTCTTCAACTCAGAATTTCAGTAATGGCGCAGCTCCTGCTGTTTTGCACCATTTTCAAATTAGCAGTGACTCTGAGATGGGGAAGACTGTTAGTGGAACCATAGAAGCTTGCAGTCCTACTAACATGGTGAATCGAGCTGTGGAAGGTGAAGTTCGTCGTTGTTTGTACTCCATGGAGGATTTGATAGACTTTGCCCAGAACGCTTTAAATGCGACACCTGATCGTACCCGTCCAGCCAAGCTGCAGATCGTGGACAGTGAGCCTTTCGAAACCACTTTGACCGTACAGGAAATATTCAAGGTGGTCAATGTGGAACTGAAGAGTGACGAAGACACTGCCAGCCTGAACTGTCATACTCTGGGGTTCCCTTTCAGAGTTAACATGTGCCACATGCTGCCCAAGACCAAGGTCTACGTGGCTACTCTGGAATCTACTGAAAGACCTGGTTACGTCATCAAACATCCGGCCATATGTCACATGAAGACCTCTGGGTTTGGTGCTGATCAAGTGGGATTCATGGCCTTGGGGACCAAACCTGGTGAAAGCGAGATTTGTCACTGGATGGAGGTTGGGGCTTTCGCCGTTGTCCAAGTCAAGGAGTGATAAAGTCTTCATGCAAAGCACGGGCCTGGGCCTAGCGGCAAGTCTTGATACATCACTCCCAACTTGCAAATAACACCTTGCAATAATGCTCACTGAAGTGAGCTACGTTCTTCCCAACAATGCTCCCTCAAGTGTTGGAAACATGATCATAATTGGAGGACGGTGTGTAGTGACTTGTTGAGCACCTGTTCGTTCATGTCAGTCATCTTATGTAGAGGCTACCATGTTCCCGGCACAAGATGGTGGGTTGCGGAAAAATGTACTGATTTATACTTTTTTGTGTGTTTCATTTGATGAATAAAACAAAAATGCATCATGCTTGAGTAAATTTCTAGACGTGTTCATTGGTCCAGTTCCTATGGTTTTCAAATTTCCGAGCCACTCGATTTACTTTTCTTTTCTATCAAAACATAATAAAGTTTGACGCCCCCTTCACGTGAGCGTACCCTGTTTGCAACATAGCTCCGATCTCCAACATCAGCTCAATTCCGAGTGAGGTGAATATGTGTTTCGCGCTATCTCTATCCTGGCCCTGCAACTGTGGCCACTCCAATTCGGATAGACATAACGTTCTGTGTTCGCAAGTGATTTCGGTGACACTTTGCAGCGACCAGTTGAGTTCATAGCCAGTGAGTTGTTCGAGGCGATCGAGTTGACGGTCATGGCTGCGAAGGCCGATCCTTATGGAGTGCTGTTCGTCTGCTTAGGTGAGCGTCGGAGTTCGATCCAAGCAAGAGGATTGTTTTATTTCGTTCAATTTAGACGACTACGAGTTTTCTTCCGATGGGGACATTGGATCACGGCGCATCACCTTTGAAGACCGAGGAGAATGCTCGAAATGACTTCTTATTCTGCGAAATTCACCGGACTGACCTATTCGTCGATGCTCCTAAAACCTGTGGATGAAAAGCCTGTGCTGCATTTTTGACCCGTGAGTGGTCAATTGCAGGAAACATATGCAGGAGTCCATCAGCAGAGGCAGTTTTCATCAATGCCGTGAAGAAAAGAGGCCTGGAAGGCAAATTCAAAATCGACTCTGCCGGGACAATAGACTACCATGAGGTATGCATGTGTGGCTTTAGGTCTACCTTCTTTAGATGTGTCTTCCGCTTTGCCCTCGAAGGTTTGACACTTCAATGGAGGTAGTCAGTGTGATTGACTGTTCCGTGAAGGGTAATCCTGCAGATTCCAGGATGAGGGCCGCTGCTCTTCGACGAGGAGTGAAGCTCGAATCCATCTCCAGACCCGTCCGGGCTTCGGATTTCAATGACTTTGACATCATCCTGGCCATGGACAAGAAGAATAGAGGTAATCCTCTCTAGGCTAGCGCGGCAAAATTCCGACAGTAGCTTCTTGACGTGAATAATTTCAGGTTATTTAGATCCGAGTTGTCCTGCCCCTGAAATTTCTCTGGCCGCAACAATTTGGTATTAGCCGATAAAGATCACTTGAGGTATGACTTGAAATGAATACGAGTTCGTAATGTTGTATGTTTACTATAAGTGTGGCTATCTGGTGAGGGTGACATCCTAAGTGCGGTTTTGTTACTTATCTTCATGGAACTAGGTATTTTCAATTCACGAAGTTCGAATGCTTAGAAACACGAAAAATATCTGATTTCCCTGTCATTGAACATTGCGTCTCTGGGATTAGAAACGGGTGTATAAGGTCCCGCCTTGAACACGAACAAGTGATTTTCAAGCTTGTCAACTACCTGACGAATACACAGCTGAGATACACAGGGTCAGAAAACTCTTGTGACCAAAAGTAGTCAAAGCAATAGAGCCTTTGTGCTGACTATTCTCATGAATCTGACTACACAGAGGATCTCTTCAGGCTCCACAAAGGTTGGAAATCAAAAGCAGGGCTGCCAGAACTAACTTCGGACAAGGTTTGTAAATCCTTTCATACTGACTTTCGCGCAGGACCTGAGATACTAGTCTTTTTCATTCCCGTAGTTTCTTCATGAATGTTTCAAAGTTTCATGGTGGATGAAGTTGGCTGGATTAAGTTGAGATTGGGCAGATTTATCAGCTTATTTCCTATTTAGTTGAGCTACGGTGTTGTTATATGACTGTCAGGTCAACCGCTTTCCTTGTTTCCGCAGGTGCAGCTGATGTGCGATTACTGCAAAATTCACGACACGAAAGAAGTCCCTGATCCATATTACGGTGGCCCTCAAGGGTTTGAAGAGGTCAGCTCGATTGACGCAAACCAGTTCATTTCCAGCTTCAGTCGTGCTCTATGATTTGCTGTTGGTATACACAAGCTTCCGACACCGTATGGCAGAATGTGGTGTACTCAGATCCAGCTTAGGTAATCCAGGTGATTTAAAAATGTCGCAATAACACCGTCTCTCTTTGCTTCTCATTCTGTGCAGGTGCTTGATCTGTTGGAGGATGCTTGCGAGGGCTTGTTAGAGTCTCTAGTATCCAAGAACGCTTAATCTTGTACAAGTTGAGTCGTTTGCGCTGAGAATTTACATGGTTGTAATAGGAATCATCTGCGATTTATCTGGTTATGTATAGTGGATTTCCACAGTTAAGTTGATGGACGTATGCAAGATGTTCATTCATCCGACTACTTAGTAATTCTGAAGTGTAATCAAGGTAATTCATGAACCGACCAACTAATGATGGTTCTGCCAAAGGCTGTATAGATTCGAACTTACCAACGTGCCAACTACCTGTAAGCATAAAAGAATTTCCATTTCCATTGCTCGTCAAGAGCTGATGGGTCAAAAAGCATGATGATAACCATATCTCGTCACGGTCAGTATTATCTTTCGGATTGTCGTTGGTTTACCTTGTTCTGTCGAAATCGTGCCTGATCTTATGGCCGTTTCTCTATGGTTGCCCATTTTCTGCCTTGGACCTGATATGAAAAGTCATGTTGAGCAATGCTTGTGTAAGGTGGTGCGTGCTGTCATGGCCGCCCAACTTTCGCAAGGAATACGAATACGTATGTGATGATTATGCCGCTTTTGTAATCGGTGCTCCCACAAACATGTTTGCCGGAAGTTTTTTACAACGGCCTTCGAAACAGCTTTTTCGAAAAAGCGTTGGCCTAAAGCGTCTGCCTATAGCGCCTCGTTCCCGCATTGACTAGAAATCACGTGGATATTCTACTCTCATTATCGATTATATCGTCGTAGCTGTTAAGGTACTCGCATTGGTTACGTCAATGCTTAGATATTTTGCTCATATTCTCGGTTACATATCCCCAAGGCTGTTGAGGCATCTGCACATTAGCGGACAAGAAGGCGTTTAGTACATGACTGCCGAGGGAAATTTTGTAAGAGTGTCCATTGCTTGTCAAGAGTTGATGGGTCAAAAAGCATGATAATAACCATATTTCGACACGGTCAGTATCTTTTTTCGGTTAGGAGAAGCTGAATTTTAAGAAGGGTCAACTCTTGAGAGTGGATAGTAGACTTGTGTCTGAATTGAAGCCGGCGGTTGGCTGAACAAGTTTAAGCGATGGGTCCACGAAAGATTTTCCGAGTATTTGTCACATTTCATTGATTTGTAGCTTCATGGACTTGGAAGTTGAAAAGCATTGAAATTTCTTACATGAAAAAGTGAGGAATGCCTAATTCTGTTGACTTGATAGTAAAATTTGACATACATTGCACATATATTATCGTGGATGCGAAACACACCTGACAGCGATGCTAAAAATACTTTCTTGGAGATTAAAATAATCGAGAACTAAATAGATTTGAGAGATTCGGGGCCAAGTAATATTTGTTAAAAGACAAAAAGTATAGAAGATTTAGTGCTGGGATACTCCAAAGTTGTCGGATAGGCATGTGAAGAAGAATTTGTTTTATTTGGAAATCGTGGTCTGTTTGCTTGAAGAGCATGGACTCTACCCATTTGACACACAGAGGAAATGAGTGCACGTCAAATTGAAGTAGTATTTTAAGATCGAGGGATTCTGGTCCAATGCCTGAGTGTTGGAGCCCGTGCGAGTGCTAGATATCGATATCTTATCGATGTCTCAGACGTCAATGTACACATCTCAGAGCACGTTCATGATTCACTGCGTATATTCGAAACCGCCATCGTTCATGTTCAGGTTCAATCAATCAATCAAAGGCGGGTTCCTGAACCCCATGCCTGATTACTTTCATGAAATTGACATGACTGTAATGATAAACTCGAGTGTTGGTAGTTCCAATCAATTTTTAGAAAACTAGAAAGAATCCTGGGCACATTGTGATCCAAGGAAGAAAGAAAAAGAGAGGAATTGAAATCGAAGTGGGCAAGGCGGTTGCCATTGCTCCAACAAGACGACAAGACCCCGTGCGCCGAAACCTTTCGTTGAAGCAATCGCGCATATTCATGTGTTCGTTGAGCCGAGAGAAGGTTAGCAACCCCCTTGACAAGGACGGGAATTGGCTTCGGCCATTCACACACCACGAGGATGATGCACAGTGCAGCTCGGAGGAGCAGAATGTAGCGTCACGAGGCAACAGATTCGCGCATCGTGCAACGGAGTTGAATGGATTTCAGGAATATCTGCCAACGAACGACAAATTCTGCGTCCTTGTGTGGAGCTGTGGGGACCGCGTCGTCTCTGAGCAAGAGGTGGACGTCCTTCGACCGGCATTGAAATGTGATGCGTGCGTGCCCCGGAGACACTGAATATCTCATTGCTTCCGTTCTTTAATAATATCATCACCTTTTTCCAATAGAGTCATCACTTTTCTTTAAATGAATGATACGAAAAATGTCCTACTTCTAGGATTTTTCGATGTGTAATTTCATTACCATAACAGTTAGTTATGTTTTTTTAAGATCTCCATTAATATTTTTTTCGTTACATTATCATTGAGATATAAACACACTAATGTAACACAGTTGGTGCTGTATATATACAAAATATAATATCAGATGTTATGAATTTGAGAATGTATGGTCTTCAGATACGACTTAATTATTTTTTAATAATTATTAATCTATGTTTTAAAAATTAATTTCAAATTTTATTAGCATTCAAAATATTATAAAATTTTGGATAAATAGATTTATTGAAATATTAAAAATTTAGTCAAACAATTCCTTCATTGTAAGAAAATCTTTTTATTAAGTTTAGTAGAGCAAAGTCTCCTTATATTAATCTAAATTTGGAATGAAGATATTTTTGGTTTATTTGATAAAAAAAATTACAATTCAGCTTTTATGCTATCATAAAAATTTTCATTCGTTGATATTCTAAGTATTTTAACATAGTTTTTGAAGTTAGAAGCTTGAAATATTATTTGAGCTTAATATTATTTTCATCAATTTTGTGAGATGTATTATAAATCTATGAGATATTAGAACATCAAATGTCAAAAATGATACGATAGATTTGTGACAAAATTTGGAAGTATTACAAAAATCTATATTTATGTAGATAAATAAAGGCATTTTCTATATAACATAAATATAAATATTCACCTATTGTCATGAAAACTAAATTCAAAACCTATTTTTTAGATCTTTAGTAAACTTAAACTTTAGTAATTTTTAAAACATATTTACTGATGATCATTCATTGCTTGATTTTTGCAATTAAAAAACATACTATAATCCATAAATCTAAGAAGCTCAACTTCAATTTAACACTTTCATTATTTTAAAATAATATTCAATATTGAAGAATTCAAAAGATGCTGAAATATACCCTAAACCCCTAAACCCTAATTTGAAATAAACATGTGAAATTTTCAATTTTAATCAATTTTAGAAATATTTTGTACAATGGAATAAAAATTTAAGAATAAGAATTGAAAATCATGGAAATTTGCTCTGAAAATATTAACAACTATATATAAATTAAATATATTTAGATATATTTTTGAATAATATGTACATGTGTTTAAAAAACATATAAATATTATAAATATTTAATTTTTGTGTAATTGCAAAACTTTTTGGACTTATATCACTTAAATATATGAATGAAAAAAATTAGTGATTTTTATGATAGAAAACTTATATATGAGATAGTACCATAAGATTTAGACCTATGAGTTTCAACATAGCTTCAACATTAAATATAATAACTTTCAAAAGAATAATATATAATTTTTTTTAAATTTCAAATGTCATATTTGCATACAATTTTTATACAATAAATGTTTTATTTGATATCTTCTAGCTCAATAATTTATTGAGGAAATGACTTGATGGTATCACTATGTAACACAAATAGCTCAATGGAAACCAACAGGTATCATTTTATCCAGTGGGACCCCATTGACAGCACACCATCTGAACAAAGTTCTTGTAACTACAAGATGCAGTCTATAGTGAGTGTGGGGTAGTGACGGCAGATCGCACTATCATCAAATAACTGCAACTACAAAGTGACTTCTCAAAACTCAATGCTTGAGGCGACATTTTTGTCGGTTTGACATGAAGTCAATCTATTGAATAATTTTTTATTGTTCCTCTATCTATGGATGATCTTTGGAGATTTTCTCTCGACTCTTCCGGTTGTTTCATGCGTCACATATTCTTTTTAGTATCAAGAATATGCTCAAAGAACCTATGTTAGAGGTTTCAGATCGACCACCTCCACTTCAAGCTCAAAATCACATCTTGGATTCATTCACAATACTCTCGTGGCGCTCGTCGGCCTCCACTCAACCCTACTTCGCTAAATCCTTCTTACTCTCTTTGCAAGCGTCTATGATGGTTGTTTCATTGCCCCCCATTCTCTTGCTGCTCATTTCCAGTATTTAGTTTGATAATAGAGAATAGTTGTACAGTGTGACATCGATGAGGTAAATGATACTTGTGGATTTCCAGTAAGATAATTGTGTTCCCGAGGGGATATCATCAAGTAATTTCCTCATAATTAATTTGATGTTCTATCAAATTAATTATGAAAAAATTACTAGATGATATGCCTAAATTACACTATCTCATCATTACAAATCCCCATGTCAAATTGAACCCTCAGTACTTTTTTCAAAAAATTTCTACTCAATATATGAAATTTGTGACAATGAATGAAACATTAGATATCTACATTAGTTCAACAAAATGTAATAATTATTTATTTAGATCAAATTAATTCATTTAAGTTATATGTTTGACTTTCATTATATATTTAAATTTAGTTAAATATTTATACAATAATCTTCCAATTAAGTACGCAAATTGATCCCATGAAAATTTTGCATACTTAACCGAGAGGTATGTACTTACTACAAACATGTACTTTTCACATGCTGTAATCCTAAACTGTAGTTGTGTCTTTGGTTTGATCCACAGAAAAAGCTCATCATGCTCGTAAGAGGAGAATTTCAAGAGCAAAATCGCAAACTGTAGTTGTGTCTTTGGAAGTATCTTCCGAAGGGGCTCACCGCGATTGTAAGAAGAGAGATGGAAGAAAAAAATCATGAATTGTAGTTGTGTCTTTGTAACGATGTGCCGAAGTAACTCACTACTCTCGTAAGAAGAGTGTTTCGAGAGGAAAGTAGCTGTGTCTTTAGAGGTATCCGCCAAAGTAGCTCATCGAACTTGTACGAGAAGAGGTTTGAGAGGAAAGTCACAAACTTTACTTGTGTCTTTGGAATGATCCGTGGGAGGAGCTCATCGCGGTCGTAAGAAGAAATGTTCGTGATTTAAATTGGCAAACTGCAGTTGTATCTTTGAAGTAATACTCCATATGAGCTCACCTCGCTCGTACGAGGATCCACATCTATCCAAGATACTCTTGAAATTGGTTGGTTGATGGTGTAAATTAAATTACACCATCTAGTTATCCAAAATGCGAATCTAAACAGATGGGTATTTAACCACAAGCTTAATGTATTATATAAAATTTTACATTTTAATCATAAAGACCAACAATTTGTTTGTAGTGTACTTGTTATGTTTATTTTAAAAAATTTCTAAAATTTTAAAAATCTTATGAAAAATTTGTTTTAATTTTGATATAACACAATGTGAAGCAATCAAATTCACACATTGATTGAAATTTCATAACATATAAAAAAAATTAGATTTAGACTGACCTTAAGGATTTTGATTTAGACTCAAATATGTTTTAAACCATTTTACATATATAACTATCTACATTTATCAGAATTTTTAGATAATAAAAATATATATTATTATAATACTATTAAGTACCGATGGTAATGTCTAAAAATATTTTGAGCGTTTATAAATGATTGATAACTTAAGTTGCATATTAAATTTTAAACATGTCAATAATAAAATTATGATGCTTAAATATGCTAAAAATTTGCATTTAAGAATATTATATATGATTTATATATTATTATTAGAGTTGTAAAATATTTTTCTATAAAAATTGGATTTATGAAAAAAATATAAATGAATTAAATAAAATTAATTGTTGTAAATAAAAATTCAAAGTTGTATGATATCTTTAAAGTTCAATGATTTCATTCAAAACGATAAAATAGTCATACTCATAGATATAATATGCTATGAAAAATTTCAATGATTGTGAGTGATATAAGAAATTTGTTGAAAGTGAATTTGAGGTAATATATGGGAATGGTTGTTGATGCATGTATAGATATTTTGCATTTTACGCTATGAACATGTCAGAAAATTGCATCACGAAATATGAAAACATCATATATGAACTTTTTTCAGAGCATTGAATGACATGTAAATAAAGGAAAATATAATTAATCATGAAATTAATATATTTAATGAATAGTATTTAACCAAATGCAGCACAATTCTATCAAATGAGAATAAATGACAATCCACATTAAATTCGGATTATTAAATAGTCAAAGTCTCTCTAGTTTTAAAGCTTGAAGCAAGTAAGTATCATGCGATATCAATCAAAGCAACAAAAAATGTATAATATCATATTCTAATTGATTTTATTGAAAGAATATTTAATAATTGATAATTCATTTCATAAAAATCATCATCATGTTTATATATTGGCAATGTGAAATGAAATGCGACAATTGAATTAAATAGATTTTTCACATGGATTATATAGTTCTATAACAATATTTTTCCTGCCCATGTCACATATAAATTACTTTCTGATCTTTGCATTATGAACAGATTCTCTCTATGGTAACATAAAACAATAAAATTTTGAAACATACTAAAATGTTGTGGCTACAACTTTGATCAAATGTAAATCTGGATAAGTAATTTTTCATAACGTAAAGTCTGGCTTTTATAAACAATTTGGAAGCTGAGTTGATTATTTTTAATGTGTCACAATACAACATAAATCTAGAATTGCTATTCAAATACAATAATAATGATGTATTTTCAGCAAGGTACTTTGTCTTTATTAGCTTATGAAACTCAACATGAAGGAAGAAATGATCATTGACTTTAGAAAAAAATAAATTGTCTTTAATATGTCTTTTACTTAAACTGTTTACGATAAATTGGAATCAATATAAAATACATGTGGATAAGCTCAGTTCTTGGTACCAAATGGATCAAGTGAAAGATGCAAAACATCAAAACCATTGATACTCATTCAGCGTAAAAAATTAGTTGTGAACATCGTAAGTTGATAGTTGAAAATTAATATTATCGCATAGAGTGAATTCTGTTGGATCCAAAAAATATGAATATTGTCACAAACATGATCTTAAGAATATCAATGTTTTGAAGTCTATCCAAAATGAAGATTACAAAGAGTTGCCAGAAAGATTCTTGGAAGAGTATGAGTAGTTCAAGATGAGGGGATTGTTGCAACACAATGTTGGCAACAAATATTAAGGAACTCAGTTTTGAGCATAAAGTATCCAGGAGCAAATTAAGGAGCATAGATTAAAAAATCAGAAAAACCGACGTGCAATGTGTAGACCTCGATTCAACTGTAGAAAAGTCGAGGGCAGCAGGACATTACCTTTCTGGTGTGGCAGGTTCGCAAAGCTCCTTTCTTCCCCACTCCCCACCCAATGTGTACCAACGTGACCTGTACATGTGCTCCAATAAGCCGCTCACACGACGACGGCCCTCGGCTGCAAAAGGCCGAGGCCCAAAGTCTCGCCAAGTCTACACCTTTTGTGATATTTATGATGGAAATATGACTCAACCACTTTCCAAATCATCTTGGACAGCATTATCAGAGATTTTCAAAAGATTTGATCAAATAATAAAACATATTTTTAAACATATAGTGGATGCATTAATAAAAAAGAAATTTTTTGGTTTAATTTATACAAATAATAAATTAAATTTTGATAGAGTACGATAAATAATCATTTGTAAAGTAGGAAAAACTACAAAGCACACAAAATATACAAAATTTTGTAGTTAAAAGCTCTAGTAAGAATTTTTCGTACAGAAGCTCTCCTCACCGAACGCCCTCAAATGAAAACGTAATGTGAAACTCATTCCAATTTCACCTTTGATTGTTTATTGTTTCATTGATTTGATCTGATGTCTTGCCACGGCCCTTTCGACTTCACTCTCCCTGCCACAATGGGACGCCTGTGCCATGATCTGCGCTGCACTGTATCTGCATTGTACGTCTGACCAATTCCAGCGAGTGCCAGATCTATAGAACTACAGTTGCTCATACGCGTAGGCTAAAAGGACATGAAACGGCTTGGGCCGGTGGACCTGCCGATCCGTGAACGCACCGGTACATCTGATCTCATCGCTTGATGGTGGACTGGACTATCGATCATGGCTTGGACTTGAGTCCATGTGAGCAGCCAGGTCTGGCAACTGTGTGTTCCTAGCTTGAGCCCGGGATCAACGTGGATTCCTCACAGAGATTCCAATGTTGCCAATGGGTTTCAATGAATTCATTCAGAAGAGCAATCACTCCAGGTATGGACACGGAGAGGCCTGTACTGAACACGAATGAGGGTGAGCTCGGTAACCACAAGTGGTTATACCTGTCGCCATGCACAGGTGCGATGGTGATTTGCAGGCAGCTCGAAGAGCAAGGCTGGTCGCCGATGAAGAGGAAGAGGAAGAGGAAGAAGAAGAAGAAGAAGAAGGGAAAGCAAAGAGGCTTCCGAAAGGCGGTAGGTACGAAGTTTTAGAATTACAGCTGCATTGGCTTCAAATCTCTCTGCTGTTTGCTTGAGATTGAAACCGTCAAGTAGGAAAAGAAGGTTCTCTCGTAAGATGGAGGAAGCTGAATAATGAATGAATGGATCAACGAACGGGGTCCTCGTTAGAATCATCGAAAGGAAGATACTTCCGAGCGTGACGTTTGCAAGCGTCACGTAGCAATCCCAAATCCGTCGGCAAGATCCGGAGATTATGTCACGCAGGAAAGGAGCGAGCGAGAGAGATGATGGCCATGTACATACTTCTGAAACCGCAGACGGGGTTCTGTCAAGGCGTGCAGGTCCAACCATCGGCTGCCAGCAAGAGGACGGCAGAGAGGAATTTTCAACTCGTTCAGGTGCATGAATTTTCGAAGCCCGGGCCTGGAGAGAATCTGTGGCAATCTGGATCTACAGCTGCAAACCAAGGTTAGCATCCCAGAGCAGCAGCATCGGCTGCAGTAGGAGCCTACACGCGACGACCCCGCATCGCATCGGCAGCTTTTTTCGCGAGTCAGGATCCCGCCCTTTGCGGGGGGCTCTGCTCTGCTCTGCTGCCATGCTAATTTCCCGAAAGAGCCCTGGAGCGCGGGCAGCTTTAAGATGTCGCAAGCCTGGAGGAAATTGTCTGGATGAGGGCAGGCGTGCTGCCACCGCCTGAGGGCACGGGCGCAGGCGCTGCTGCTTCTGCTGCTGCTGCAATCATGGCGATGGAATTGAAGGCGTCTGGTGGCAGCGGACCAATCTCTCCCGATAAGCCTATCGTATGCCCGCGCATGATCTCGTTTCTGCTCCTCTTCCCTCTGCTTCTAGACTGCGTGACCGATCCTCCAAAAGCGCTAATCCGTCTGTAACCCGATTTGCTTTCTCGTAGTCCACTTCCTTCCATCCTTTCGTCAGTTCCTTTGTTCTCTTCACTTATTTTAGCTCGGAGGATGAATTTGTGGAGGGAAGGATAGAAGGTAGATGATGGAAAAACTGCCATGGGTTAATCACATTCAAATGTCACAAAGGCTAGTCCGAGATTATGAGGACAATCAAATCCATCACAATGATCATAAATATATCACTACTCAATGTGATCATTAGAGTTAACCAATTTCGAAACAAGACTTATTGCGATCTATACCTGTTTATAAAATTCGAGGAGGTGTCTTCGAGAAGCGTCCCATATCAAATTACAGAACACTAGTCACCTTAATCAATCCAGTACTACATTCGTAGTGACTGGACACATTTCAACAGGTTCACTCCATTCATTCATACATGAAAGTGCTGTCCAATAACTGCAAAAAATTTCCACATGGCAGGTGACGGCTTAATATCATCGGGATGAAATGAGAATCAATTTTAGCCTTTGAAACTTACCCATGAACTGCAGTGCAGAATTTGAACTGAAGACCCACACCTGAAAGGACATGGGCCACACGAATTCGGTGTAGACACCAAATAAACGTAAAGGGAGACTCGTTTTAGACGAATGAGGTGCTCACACGCACTTCGCCATAACCTCGTCCTCGTGCTTTAGAAGATTTCCCAGCCCCCTCGTTCCTCTGCTTGCATGGTACTCGCCATTTACTGTCAACCCCGATTACTCAAAACAAAGCCTATCATACACGTCCTTTCCTATTTACGGAAAGGAAATCCTACAGCGTCCTACTGGGTTCCAAACCACATCCGTAGCCCATAACAGGAAATGAAAAGATATGAGTTGAAAGTATTTGGTGCTTTACAAACAGATTTGTTTTTACTGGCTTGAGGCATCGAATTATCCATGGACGCACATATATAGGAGGTGGAAATTATCCATGGACCCACACATATAGTAGGTGGAAATTTTCACCTCGAAGGTCACCCCCCCTGCCGGGCTTCACCAAGAGTTGGTATACAATTTTTAGAGGAATCGAAATGAGTATCCTGGAAGAGATTCCACCATGGACCCCATTTCGTGTTTTCGTCCGCGTTGTGTTTCTCGAGATGTATGGGAATTCAGAAATTGGAAATTATCTCGCCCTCTCAGGCAACCTTCTTCTGTTTTACCCCCAAGCAGATGTACGACCCAACAGAGAGGAGGGGTTCTGTCAACGTGGCGATCCCATCCCTCAGAGGGGAAGCTTTTTGAGAACCTCGAGTGTCTCCAAGGCTGCACGGGGAGCTGGGGATTCGTGCTGAAAGTTGCGTTACCCCTCCGTTCGTTCAAAATAATCTGCAGATCCCCGAGTGCAAGAACAAGGATCACTTTCCACACTTTTTAACTTCGAACCATTATATTCTAGGTCTTCACTTTTCTCAATATTGAATCATCTGCTAGATTTTCTTGAAGAGAATAGCATAGATATATTTTCCTCTAGGTTACACTTTGTCCTTTCCCAATCTGATTGCTATATATTAAGAAGAAAATCGCTGTCAAACCTGAGGTGAACTTTAGATGTACAATGTCGGCCTTTCCACTCAAGTACTAGACCGACACACCATGCCCGCTATGAAAATCCAGAGTCCACATAAGCATCGTGTATAATGTCTACAACAGCAATCCGAATCATGTAGTCAGCGTGGCTATCGATTGTATCCCCCAGAGATAAAAGTTGAAATTGCCTACATGCATATTTTACAGTAATACCTAGGAACTTAGACAACACGTTTTGTTCCTAAAAGTTCTAGAAGCGGTTTACAATTTCATCGCAAAATTCAGCTCGTGAATCTCATTTTCATTTGACGTGTGGGATTCTTTTTCTTTAAATGCTAGCGCCACATTTCACCGACAGGCTAGAAAGGGAGCGGCCAGGAAGGGAACCAGAGAAGAAAGAGATGCGTACCATCATGTCCGAGTTGTGGAGACTCCAACCGACTGCCTCCAGCAAAGTTGCTGCCGGCACCGGTAGAGAGAATGAGAATGAGAAATCTTCCAACCCGAAAGCTTGGGCATCGTAGAGGAATCATTGAAGTGTGGAACCTCGGATAGATGACGAAGAATGCGCACATACAGTTCGATAACAAGAAGGGTCGGGGACGGATTGCGATCAAGCTGCTACGATTTAGTGGTTGACTCCACATATTCCTCACATATTTGGCAAAGTCAAAAGCCCGGACTCCGGTTTTCTCTGGCTATTGTTAGGAATGGAGGTGGTCCTCCCCATTGGCTCAGCAAATGGCTTCCTATGATTGGCATATCTCGAAAGCATTCCGTCATACGACCGAGCGGGAACCGCTGTATCATGAAGGTTATATATATATATAATAACCTTTTTGAAAATATTAATTGATACTAATTAAATTGAAAATAGTTCTAATAATCATGTTATTCCAGGTTATCTTAATGGAGTTATTACAAATCGATAGTAGTAGTAGCGCAGTTCAATGAGATCCTCCATCCGGAAATAATATAGAAATGTCTCGAAAGAGCCAGTGACCCCAAAGGGCTCTGTGAAGAAGGGGGCTGGCTCACCGGGACTCGTCCGAGTCATCTTGTTGACTGCGTACACGACCGTCGCGTCGCGACACAGATCCTCGACGCAGTGGCCAAACTGCGTCGCTTGCCCAGCATCACTCGCACCAAACAGGCGGTCAACAGTACGAGTTCCGCGCGGACGGCGTACGTAGTTTTGGCTGCATGGGATCAGCCCTAACGTGGTGGAGTCTCAGACGATTTCGGGAAAATAACCGAAGACACGCGGAGCACAGAAGAAGAGAGGAGGAGGAGGAGGAGGAGAGGAGGGGAGAAGAGCCGGGCGCGCACCTACCTCGAACTGTCCAGAATTCCGGCAGGCCGCGAGTTCTAACCACGGTTAAGCCGACTGCGTGGCCGGCGACGGGCTCACCAGCGCTAACCCGGGTCACTTCGTGTTCCTTCGGAGGACTATTTCGAAAGGCGTGTGAGGGCAGGGTGGTCACAACGCACTGGGCTCCGGCTCCCACAGTCGAGGTGCCAGGTGGAGCCTGGAAAAGCCGCCTAAGGGACGGAGGGCCTCGGGGGTACTGAATCTAGAACGAGGGGGAGCGCAGTGGGCACGATGGCAGGCATTGGCACGAAGAGAGGAGCGGGGAGGGGCCAGTGAGCTGAAATGAGTTGGGGCCTGTCGGACTGTCGTTGTCGTTGTCGCCGCTGACAGCTGAGGCCGTGGGAAGAGTAAGTAGAGGCACCTTCGGCCCCCACCCACTGCAGTCCACAATTCTCGCTCTCCGCAACTCCGATCTACCACCTGGATGTGCATGCCCGCCCTCCCCTCTCCTCTCTTGCTGTCCGTGTGTGCATAATTAGGCCCCGCCCAGAGTCGGTGGTGTTGGTGATCCACAAGGACCGCAAGGCAACAGAACCGAGAGCAGAATCGCTCTCAGAGAGAAGAGGGAGAGGCGAGGTCTGCGGCCCGAGTGGGCAGAGGGAGAATTGAAGCAAGAGGGGAGGGGAGGGGAGTTGAATTGATAGAGGCGAGGGGTTCTTTTCTGGGATTTTGGTGCTGCTGCGAGGGCGATTTGTGCGGGCTGCCGGGCCGTACTCGGGGTAGCCCCTTCTGATTCTGATGGTGGTAGCAGCAGCAGCGGCAGCGGAGCGAGGGCGGAAGAAGGTTTGAGCATTTGTTGGTTTCCGGGCGCGGTGCGTACCGGGAGTGAGTGAGTGAGTGATTGGTGTGGAGTGCCAATGGGAGTCCGATAGCTGGCTCTTCGATCGGTGAGTTCTGGTTCTGGCATGGTGCGGCGCACTTGAAGCAAGAGCTCGAGGAGCTTGCACAAATGTGGAGGCCGGATTGTGCCTCAGCAGCTGATCGAGCCTGATCGGTTTGGGTTTGAGCGATAGAGAGAGCGATAGCGAGAGACATAGAGACAGAGAGAGAGAACGAGAGGGCAATTGTTGTGGAGTGAAGCGGAAGAGTGAGATCGTATCGATCGGAGAAGCGCGGGGGAGCATTGCGATAGCGATGGAGAAGGTGTGCCAATTGTCGATCGAGGTGGAGGACGAAGCGGAAGTGGAGAAACTGGATTGGAAGGAGACGATCAAGAAGGGCTTGTCGCTGCAGGAAGTGGATCTAGAGTCGGGGAAGAATGGGTGGGGCTCGCCGCCGGGCTCGTATTTCAATGTGCGGGCGGCGAATTACTTCGTCAAGCGGATGAAATGCCCGGCGGGCGACTCGCTGCTGAAGCCGCTGGGAGTGGACTGGTTGAAATCCACGGGGAAATTGGAGCACGTGATGGCGCATCCGGGCAACCTCGTGCGGCAGGTGCTGGACAAGGCGCAGGAGAAGGGCGAGGCGCTCAAGTCGTTCATCTTCGCGGTGAATTTGCAGATCCCTGGCAAGGATCACCACAGCGCGGTGTTCTACTTCGTGACGGAGGAGCCCATCCGGCAGGGCTCGCTGCTCTACCGATTCATCCACGAGGACGACGCCTTCAGAAACAGCAGGTTCAAGCTCATCAACAGAATCGTGCGCGGCCCGTGGATCGTCAAGGCCGCGGCGGGCAATCACGCGGCGTGCTTGCTGGGGCGAGCGCTCACCTGCCACTACGTCAAGGGGCCCAACTATTTGGAGATCGATGTGGACATCGCCTCGTCCACCGTCGCGAACGCGATCCTGCACCTGGCGCTCGGCTACGTGACGTCGGTGGTGGTGGATTTGGCCTTCCTGGTCGAGAGCCAGGCCGACGACGAGCTGCCGGAGAAGCTGTTGGGGGCAGTTAGGGTCGCGCACATGGAAATCTCCTCGGCCTCCACGCTGGAGCTGCTCCCCGAGACGCCCTCCTCCGACAAGTGCCAGACGCCCACATTCCAATTAGGCGGCCTCTCGTGGCGCAAGCTCGGCCGCAGCTTCACCTTCGGCAAGGCCGGCAAGGTCGACGCCGAGGAGGACGCGAGCTGAGCATCATCATCCTAATCCTAATCATCATCATCATCAGCAGCAGCAGCAGCCGCAGCCCTCGAGGCTCACGAGCGACGAGCGCATTGCGTCTCCGGATTGGGTCCTCATCCTTCTCCTCCTAAATTGGCGATGGACGAGCTGCCGGGCCACGCGCTAACTAATCTCACTCTCCCCCGCCCGCGTTTCCGTAATCTCGGAGCTGGCGCCGGCGACTGAGACCTCCATTATATTTCTGTCACCTGTCACCTGCCACGAACTCCTCCCTGATCGAACGATCGATCGATCGATGAATTTGTCGTCGAGAAAGGCCGGAGATTGCCTCCGTGCAAAGCGGGCGTGGTTTAGTTACGATTGATTCGGTTTAGTTCAGAGCAGATCAGATTAGATTAGATTAGATCAGATCAGATTAGAGTAGATTAGATTAGATTAGTGTAGGCGAGTCCTGTGTATTGGAGTTAGTAGCGCACCGAGAGTCGCCCTGGGCTCGATGAGCGCGAATGCATTTGCCTTCTGAGAAAGCGAGCGAGCGAGCGAGGGGAGAGGAGAGGAGAGGAGCGATACATTCCGACAAGGATTCGAACTGATGGGTATGGCAGGACCAACCGACTGACGACGAGCAAAAGCTCTGGATTCCTAGCGACCCGAGTTCTCTGCGGGAGCTGATGTACATAGCCCACGAAGGCTGCTCCCCGTGAAGGGTCAGTTCTCTCGCACGCCCGCCCGCGCGCCCGTCCGGAGAGAGCTTACTATCTCCCGGACATATGTAAAAAAAATTGCCCCTTTACGTGGCCATTTGCACTCCAGCCCCCTCCCTCTCGCTTGCATGGCGCATGACTTGATTGCACACTGTCACCACTGTCGCTGCAGTCGGGCCGGCCATTGGCACGAGATGCGCTCGAGCCTCTTGGCAGGACTCTGCTTTTCTGGACGGTGACTGGCTTTCGCACGACCGCCTCTGTGGCTGGTGCTATGCTGCTGTGCTGCCCGTCAGGAGCTTAAAGACGACAGAGCTGGTGGGAAATCGGTTGAATTCGCCCACGGTCGTGAGTTTGCCCGTGGGAGGATCGCTCCATACAGTGCTCTCTGACAGGATTTTGGACCTGGATTTCGTCCGCTGAGAAGTGAAGTTCTTGGTTAAGCGAATAGAACGACGTTTGACAATTTACCTGGCTCTCAAAGTAGCTGTCCAACTTGGCTCCCTCGCCATACCCAGCAGAGGCGTGCAGTGTGCCTACACTCGAAGGGGGGCAGCGTCAGTCTATAAATGCCATTGTCAATTTCTTCCAAGACTTTGAAAAGCCTTTCCACAATGTGTCACCAACATTGTTACCTTATTCATTCAGTTATCAACTAGCTGTCGGGAAGAGACAGTTTCAGTTTCACGATATCTTTTCATTTTTTCTTGAATTAAAACCTTCTCATCTAAAATGTAAATCGAACAAGTACAGTTACATGGCAAAATTCTTCATTTGGAGTAGATCAAGTTGAAGTGTTCATGAGTCATCTGAAAGCATTGGGTTTTAACTCATATTAGAAACAATACAGAAAAAAAATTAAGAATGAATGATAATCCAAATTAGAAAACCCTCTTTACTTGGTTCGTATATAAACCTATGTGTGTACGGGTACACATTTCGATTATTTTGTGTACAGTTATAGCTCACATAATCCATACATCTTTTAGAGCATAAAGTATAATCAGTAAGTGTCGTTTAGGAGATTGAGATTTGAGATAGAGGTATGCTGATGTGAATAAGATTTTCGCTTAATATTACTCAATCATCCTTCGCAGCTCCGTCATCACAGAAGAAAATAGTAAATCATATTTTCAAGGTACAACAAAAAGCTTATAACTATGGTTATTATTGGCTATTACTCTTACATGGTTAATGGTTACTGGCATATAACTCAGAAGATTAATGAATTAATTTTATTATATCATAAGAATGGCAATACAGAAGATACTCGATACTGACGCTGAATAAACGTTTCATGAACACGTAATATCAGAGCTCAATATATTCAAACTTTGAATCTAAATTGCAGTAGAAACTTACCAAGTACTTATGACTGTAAGTGAGATCACAAGAAGACAATTTCAAGTAAAAAATGACTTCTTCAAACATATCCTGTGTATACTGATTTGATATATATACTTTCAGAATATCTTAAAAAGCTTGAATTGATTACCTATTGGTTTCTTGCTGTATTTCGTGTAATTTTTCCTATTTCAAAACACATGTAGTTGAAAATTAAGATAGAACTCGGAAAAATTTCTATAGAAACATAAGGGATAAATGTAAGGGACAAGTAGTCAACCTTCGATATAAGTATACTTGAAGCAGAGTTTGCCAACTGGTCCGTGCGGGTTCCCGGATGTTTATTTTCCGTACACAATGCTTTCAGTGCTAGATGGCAGCAGCGTACACAGACATTGGACAACTGGAGCTCTGTATTTGTGAGATGGATTGTATCCGTTGCTACATGGGAATACCATGCTTGGACACATCTAGAGCTTGTCTCACATGCATTTGATTGAACAAATTTGTGGCAGATTTCTCGAAGTTAAAAGTCCTCATTTTACTTCATGTGACAAAATCACCAGACCTCGATACGACAACAAGTATCTCAGTGCTTAGGTTCAGTCAAATTCTCCGCTTGACAAAACCATGCTCGTATCTCATAGCAAGGGGTCTTGCTAAGAAAATCTACGCTCCAGGACAATACTAATACTGTGACTTGGGCATCACTACATCCATCTCATAAAAGCCATGATCTTCTTGTCACATTATCCATAACAGGCACGGCTGTTGTAAAGGTAAGGAGACGACGACAGTAACCAGGATCACTGTTAAACCTACAACTAATGCATTCCTTATGAAACAAAACATCCGAGTGCAAAAACGCTTTCATTCTGAGCGATCCTTCAGTTGATACCGAACAAAAAGCAATTCGAGTAAGTCGGAAGATTGAGCTGCTTATCTCGAGGACACAGAGGTTGTCGGAAAGGATTCAACTGAACCTGCACAAACGGATTAAACTCAGTGTCAGAATTAATAAATATAATGCTTGATGTTTCAACTGAAACCCAAACTCATAATTTTTAGAAGAATCACCCCTGCCAAGATAAGATGTATATGGGAAAAGATGATGATGTGTGCGTCCATACAGTTCAGCAAGGCTAACTCTTCCTGCATGAATAAAATCCGGACGTTTTCTCTTCACCAGGAGAGTCTAGAGGAGGGCGATTTATGTTCTGAAGAAAAGAAATTGTCCGCAAGACATTCAGCATCCAAAGCAGTGTGATTTGACTATCCTAGCACATGCTTTTCATGATCTCCTACTTATCAAAGTGGTGTTCAAAGCCGCTGACGGAACTTGCAACCAGAACAAAATTGATTCTTAAGGTGGGGAAAGAATATTTCCAAATTCAACGGATTCATCAAGAAGGAACATGAGTATAATATTAGCACTGATGCAACCATTCACAAACATGCCTTGGGAACCACTTCAAGAATAGAGCACAGTCGGAAACGCGAGTGATTGAGATTTATTCATTGCTTCGATCGCCGGTAAGATTTTTGCCATGTCACTTCGACTAGGTTCCACTGTCCTCATTTCTTCTCTCCATCATATATCATAACTTATGAGAAATTTCTCTTGTTTCTAGTTTTCAGACATCAATCAACAAAGGAGTTGAGGTAAGCCCCCAACCTCTGATCTTAAGAAAGAGTATTTCTTACTCTGCATGCTTGATAGATGTTCTAACGTGAGTCCATTCAGTGATATGTAAATGTGAAGCAAAGTTTCTGATCGCATTTCAGCGTTTTTCAGCTCAAGATTAATGCAGGCTAAGGAACATAATATAGTTGATATTAAAGCCGTCGGTGCGGGTCACTGAAGCGTGAACATAGGCAGAGCAAACTTGCTCGTTTCTACTAAGTGGAGGTCAAACACACATAAAACAGAATGCTTTCAAGAGGCCAAGATGGCCGGCAACTTACATTATGTGTAGGAGGGCTGGAACAAGCTGGAGAAACGGAACGTAGAGCGAGATCAGCGGCCTCTTCGCAGTAATCAGTAAATATGGCTGGCACCTTAGAGCTTAAAATTAACCTCTGCGACAACACATTGATTAACTTAACAAAACGAACAAGATGTATATTGTCCAACCAGACAACTCACCCATATCAACAGAATTTGCAACACTCTATCCTTCCATTGTACTGAGACAACTCAAGCACACAATTCGCAAGAGTTATGAATTAACTCTGACATATACCAACCAACTATCTTGAAATCTGATATGGGCTACACTAGGGCGAGATACATGACAAAATTTTAACAATCGTTTATAATCTTTGCAAGTGCGTAAGTAACTGGAAGGACTGCATAAGGTCTAGCACATATTCGTTCCTTCTTTCCATAATGATATGGGCTGCAATAGAATTCGATACATGACAAAACTATCAACAAACGGTTAGACACTCTGGAAGCATGCGTATGCAAATAATAGGACAAAAGTAAGACCATACTAGAGTTGGTTGCCAGCTGGGGAAGGCAGCAAGTCCAGCATTTGGAGCAAAAATAAAGTGAGGAGAAGTCTCCTGTACAAGGTCAGAAGGTTCTGTCAGCTTTCATCGCTTACTCACGAGTGTAGTTAAAGTTCGTGACTCATTTTAAATGAAAAAGCTAGAATCAAGTCAATCTTCACTTCAATAACTTTGTGCAGGGTGAAAATGACGATGATGCGTGATAACAAAAATGGCATCTGGGAGCTTACCAATTCCGAATACCGTTCATGATACAGACCTCTCCATAATTTGATTGTCACGCGACCTCTGACCTTGACACCACTCCCTCTTGACGTCTTGCATAGACAGTCTTCATCGAGACATTTTGGGTACTCGTTAAGATCTAAGGCTTTGCCATCCCTGTCAATGGACAGAAAATTGCTTGTCAAAGGTTATACACTGCGTTCATCGGTGGGATTGAGTGATAATAAATCAGGTGTAAAATAGATGCATCACAAGGGGAATGCATGAGAATCCCAAAACGAAGACCGGAAGTTTCACAATCCAGGCGGGAAAACCGAATATGCGGCATGTATAAGCGGCATGTATAAGCATTGGGCATGATTCACATCATTCGGAGCTAAGAGTGGGGATTCTTCCTGAGAAAAACCTTTACGATGTTGCTTCACCATTACAAGAAACCGATCGTTACCAGAAACTCATCTTGTGCACCTATGGCTTGATAGAACTACAATACATAGCAATTGCTAAGAGATACAAAGGAGTATGAGTGTACGAGAAGAGCGGATCTGGAACCCCGTTGAGTCAAGGCATTGGCAGTTTATCTCTACCGGGAGACTTTGGAAACAGAGACGACACAAACACTGCCTCGAGAAGTAAAACAAGAAACCTTGAAGCTGAGACACCTGGTCCAATCATGTCAATATGGACATGACGATGTGGGAGGAGGGCAAGCAACTCGCTGAATGCTTCCAACATATCCAGTTCCTTCTCCGGACCTTCAAAAGCATGCGACCAGTCGGTAACCCTCAAGGAACAAGCTCTCTGCCCTCTCCCTAATTAACTTCCTTCTGATTATTGCTTGAAGTGAAAAGTTGAGAACGTAAAATATCGTGAGTAACAGAAAGAAACCAGGTGGATGCAGACAACTCACCCAAGTAATGGATGACGCAGGCTCTCTCTACATTAGCTCTGAAGGTCGAACTGTGTTTCCAAATGAGGCAGAAGGCATGATACAGGGTCAGTGGCTGCAGTCAGGGACGACATAGACAATTAGGCTCAGTACATATGGGGGAGTAGCTAAGGAAACAACTTGCCGACAAAACGAGATTTTGAAGCGACGCTCAAAGAGTAAGTTATAAAATCACAAGCTGACAGGGTGCTCATACGGTTAGCATATTGTTTTGAATGATCAATGAACATAACTCACCCAGTGTAAAATTAAGGCCACAGGAGATTCCAAAGGCAGAGACCGCCAGCTATAGTAGCTTGCCCAGTCCATCATATGGCTTTCACTCAATTGGCACGCATCTGCAGATTCAATCTAGATTCTTGAGGATTTACCACGTATGATGCTCAACTTCGACAGCCAACACGTATTCATAGTATGAAGTCACAAAAGAATGAAACAATGAAAAGCAGAGACTACCTGTACAAGGGCACATCCTCGATGGTAGTTGCCAATCTGTTAGTCATGAAGCCACGCCTGCCGAAGTTAAGCAATAAATGAACTTGAATAAAGACATTTTTGTGAGATAACCGACTCTTCCACCACTCTGGAAAAAAAACATCAAGTGGCAATAATGAAGAAATACAGCCGGGGCCAAAGCATGATTGTTAACAAGCTATGATGTAGAGAACATCATGTCCTGCCTCGCAAAATATTCAATAGCTTGAAAGCTTTTCCACGTATACTTCACCAACAGTATCCCATAGTAAATCAACTATATCGAAAACTACGCTTCAGACAATTGAGGCCGAAAGCATCGATCGATATTATTAGATTATTGAAAACAAATTTACCAGGAAAGACCAACCGGATATGACAGGCAATAACGTTAGTAATGCCAAGGCTCGAAGTTTCTGCTGATAGTAAGGAAAAGCTGTCGAGGTCCCAACTGATAATCTTACCTGATGGAGTCGCAAATTCTTCCACGGAAGAAGCACAGTCACACTGGGCTTTCCACAAGCCTTTGAGGTGGAGATCACAGTTTTCGAGAAAAGAACAAACAGTGATAGCTCCCACATCCACCTGACCAGACAAGCAAAAATAATTTGAGTTTCGAGTACATAAGTTTTCGCAGAGTTCTTGATCAAGTGTAGTCTTGATCTCATACAGAAGCGATCCCACTTTGCCTCAACTGAGAAAAGCCCCCTCACGTACCAGCTGGGTCGTATCCTCCGCAAAAGAGAAAGGAAAGTCATGTACTGCACCGGCCCGCATCATCTGCTCTGCCATCCGGCTACACTCCTGACGATGATCTCTCCAATGTGCCATCTGCAGACACAAAAGCTTGAGATTCGTGTCCTGCAACTTGAACGAATAGGCTGTAATCTGCCCAATATCTCACCTAGGATAAATGCATGAGCGGCGGAATTCTACCACTCAGTTCCAGGAACTTGAATTTCCATTAACTTCATGCTGGTGAGCTTGTCTAGAGAAATAAAAGGTAGGAAATCATGTCGGCCAGATTACAAGCTTTTGGTATTCCTGACAATTCTTCTACATGTGGATGCTGCATTTGACGTGAGAGAGAAATATCAGCGAGTAACTCAAGAGAATCTGGATGGTCAGCCACTTGCGTGAATTCCAATTGGAGATTGGAACTATGTGACATTCAAAGGTAATTCCGGAATTAATTCCTCACGGCAGGAAACTTTGTTAATACAATAAAAAATCCTTGCTTCTTTTGCCCATGTTGTGCAGTCAGTTAATGACTGCCCGAGTATTTTCGATTTGAAGGCCACTCCGGCCGTCACCCACAAATCAAACGCTCAACTCTCGAGCTTCACGAAATCATATAATCCCCGAAGAGGAGAGAAGAAACCTGATGATCAAGGGAGCAGTAATTCGGAGCTCCACATGATCCGCAGCGCAGAACTGCGGGGCCCACGCACGGCCCGGCTCCGGCATACTTCCCACAACAGCTGCGACCAGTGCCATGAACCTCCATCTCTTGCCGACACTGAACCGAGCCTTCGTGTGTCTCTCGAGGCATGTCTGATGACCACGAAGGCAATTGCCCCCTTTCCCGCTGCAGGCACGACCAGCGCGACTGTATCTCCCACCGTCACGCTCTGGGAGCAATGGCAGTCGACGCCATTGGCACACTGCAATAACATACTCACTTGTCCCTCATGGTATCAAAGTTTTCTACTCGCTTTGTATACATGTTAAACATTTTTTTCTTCATTCATTTATATTGGGCGACAAATCAATTCTCTGAGTTTAGAGAAAAGAAATTTATACACATTCAGATTGTAACAACTTTAGTTAGAACGGTAAAGGATATTCATGTTCAGCACATAGGCATTTGCAATATAGTAAGAGTAGAATGCAAAATGAAAATATACCTCATATATATATAAAAGTTTATTCTCGTTTGTTACCATATACATCTATAATATATTCATTGCTTCGTTTTGAAATAATATGTACATTTATATTTTACTTTCCAAACAATCAAACTATAAACTCATCTTGTGGAATTGAATTTTCTTAAAAACCTTCAGCGTTTGATCTAAAAGAAATTTGTGACAATGGTTTTATATTGTCACAATATAGTCCCATCACAATTATTTAATTGGCATACCCTTCATTTCACTACCACACATAGTGTCAATCACAATTAAAGACTTAAAGTATAACTTCATAGTGTTATAAGAGGAAAAAATGATCAACTTTTTTTCCAAAATAAAATCATTTTTATTTTATATATATAGATATATGTAATATTCATTTTCATTGGATTGATATTTATTTTAGATTTATATATGTATATACATATAAAATAATATTGGAATATAAGATATTTATTTACTAAGATTATGAAATAAATATCTATTTACATTATTGTTAAGATTTTGACATCTAATTATAATATATCTGAATAATATGTATATCTTATTTAAAATAAAATCATATAAATTATTGCATTGATTTATAGCATTCAATTGATCTTATATCTATATGTAAACTTAAAAATACTATTATCTTAATTTCATGATAGATTAATAAAATTTCATAATTTAAATAAATAATCATATTGACAAGAATTGGAATAATTTTGAAAATACTTATGTAAAATTTAAATAATTTTTTTAATTTAAATACAATATTAAAAAATATTTATAATATTTGAAATTTATTTATTTCAAATGCCAATTTGTAATAAATTTTACTATAATATACGTTTGTGTGAGAACAATTAATTTACATACTTGTTCATAACATAAATGATTATCACATCAAATACGAGATAATTACTTGATGGTACCTCATCCTGGCACAAATTGACTATTGGGACCAATTAAATTTCATTTACCCGATGAAATCACACCGACAACAGAATGTCATCCATGTTATCCATATTTTATTATCAACAGACAGTGCAGACTATTACGTATTTTCCCGTGCATGGCTCGGAACAACGCATCATCTTCTGAGTATCTGCATCAATAATCTGCTTCTGAACGATGCCCGTGTTCTTCCCATAAAACTCACGCTTCATAGTCTACACCTTCACTTCCTCCATTTCGTTTCTTCTTGACCAAGACATAAATCCAAATCAGACTCTCATCCGTCGAACATCAAATGGTGAGCATTTCGATCTGTCTCAACCTTTGAAAGGCTTGAGTCCATTTTGAAGATCTTACTTTCCCAAGTCTGGTGTTGGTTTGATTACAATGTTATTCGAATTTGTGCAGATCTGTGCAATGGTATGAACTCAGGATAAAATGCATCGATCAATAGGATACTTTGTTTGGCACTTGACCCATAATTAATGATGATATTTCCATTTCTCATAAGATCATATACAAACTTTCAAAGTCTATAAACTTTTACCCTCATTCGGTATCTAAACATTTTCTTAAGTCCTCATTCATAAGTTTTCATCTCGATTAAGTCCACATAATTTATTTCAAAAAAACCAGATCAAATTTTTTATTACTGATTCAATGCATGACCTCACGAGTAATTGATAACCGGCCTCCTTGCATTATGTATCGAAGCGTGAACAATGCTGATTTGGCTTGATGAATTTGCTACAATGACAAAGATACTCATTTCTTAAGATCATTTAAACAAATATTCAAATTGACAACATCTTGTAATGAATCATTGATTACATCTTGCTGGTCAACATACGCTTCATTCATATTCAGGGCTTTGTGATCGGATTCACTGTCACTGTTTTGAGATTCCTCTTCACCAGCAATGGTGACAGAGTATTACAATTTGTCATTGCATGCTCAATCTTCTCAATCAAAACGTTCTTGCAGAAAATCAATTCGTCATTATCATCGTCGAAACAGTGATGGATCTCAAAGTGGAGATTTGAATCATGGGCATCATTCAAAAGCTTACAGCAAACTTTGAACAAATTCACAATTTTTTCAAGATCATTATTATCGTAGATTGTATCTCTAATATCACAAAAACTAAAAATGATTTCTGCTTTCTTGAAACAATTTTTTAAACTTTGCATTGAGATGTCATTTCGTGCGATATTCACAAAATTAGAAGCGTCACGCAAATGAGGCGGCCGGCCGTAAACAATTTTAACACCACCGCATTTCACTTTTTATGCAGAAGAGATCAATTGCTCCTTAACGGCTTTAGGAGTATCATGAAAAGCAATGATGTACTTGAATAGTAGATACTTGTATCGTTTTTTAGAAATGACAATTATGTCCATGTCCAAGCAGTGGAAACAATCCCTAGATTGTTTCCACTGCGTGACGTTGGTAGGGAAAAACACCACCTAAATTCTGTTTTTCTCAAAAGATTTTGAATGGCCTGACACATAGTCTAAAATCAGTAGCACTTTATGGCCTATGCGTTTTCTCTCAAAAGGCTCAAAAACCTCATCAAACCATTTATTAAAGGTCTCAACGTCAATCCAAGCATTCTTTTGTTGCATATATGGAATCGGCCAAAAGTTTCCTACAATACAAGCTGGCTCTTTAATGTTTCCAATCATAGTAATTGGTACTCGCTTTGTCCCCGTAGCATTGCAGCAGACAATAAGAGTTACACGGTCTTTCGTCTTCTTTTACCTCAAATCGTAGAAACATCTTCATTTGACAAAATAATTCTACACGAGTAACAAGTCAAAAAAAAATAAATCTCTTTCATCCATGTTATGTACGTAAGATGAGTCATACTGATCAATATCAAAACCCAACTCTTCAAGAGCTTTGATAATTTCAAGATCACTTTTTTTCACTTTTTCACTTTATCAAAAAAATATTTATGGAGTTCAACTTGTGCTGGTGCTGAAACTTGGCAAACCATCTCCAAGAAGCATTGTTTTTTTTACTCTGGTATTTATGAAGTAGAGTCAATAATTTAATTTTTATAACAAATAATTTTGGAAGTCAATGTAAGCGATACAACGATCAACTTCAATTCACTCAAATAATCTCTTTTCGAATTCAGGTGACGTACCATGAGATGCACAAAATATGAATTCATGGGTAGCTGGATCTACTTTTTGAGTTTTCACGCATTTTGACTTTGTTGAACTTTAGTTTCCAAATTATCTTATCATCCAATACGAATTGATGGGCAATATTGCGCATTAATGCGATAATGTTATTATCTCCATTTGCTGTCGATTGTTGAAACGATCGTTCTCGCTTCTACATTTAATGAATCGTTGCAAGCTCATTCTGATGAATAAAATAATGTTCAAAGATCAATGATTTGAATTCGATCAAAAAGTTAAATTTTGCTCTTAAGTACACATCACGGTTAAGTCCGCACTGAATTCTTCATATCATAATGCGGATTTAAGCGAATTTTACAGTTAATGCATAGTAACAAGTTTTGGAAATTGGCAACAACACATCGTAGGTGACATCCTATAGGTTAGAACAAGACTTGTATATCAATAAGTAATTTTTTTTGTGATGAGATTTCATCAAGTAATTTCCTCCACGAGATAAACATTATAGTATATATATTGTAGATAAAACACAAGTATCATAATTGATATAATTTTTTAATCCATATTATAATATGTAATTTATATCATTAAAATCAATCTATTCATGTCTCATAATTTTTTATTCTTATATATTATTTACAATTTATATCATGAAACAATCAAACCGAATTGACTACCAATACATACATTTCCATCGATCATTGCATTGAAAATAAATAAATATAAACATTGCACTCTTAATTTTCTCAATCACAAATCTATGTTAGTGACTCATTGCCAGTTCATCCACATAACATACATTTTTATTTTGCACAAATCAATTTAACCCTTCAATCCACAAAACATCAATTTTTGTTAAGAAAGTAATGTAGTGCAAAATTTGACACATTTTTCTTGCAAATGCTACCTGTAATCCAATAACTTCGGAAGAAATACTGGTACTCCTAACGCATCAACCACACGACCTAACATTGCTCATTTGTAAAATACTGCAATTAGCAATAACATTCATTGTAATCATTGCACTTAACTACAAATAAACAGAATCATATAAAGTATGCACATATATCGTATGTTGAATTATGCTAGATCCCTTCATTTCACAATGATAGTTATTATACTTTTCGAAAATGAACATGATGCAAGTTATTATCATAATGGACAATAGTTAAATCTTGATTTTAGTATGCATTAATTAAAAAAAATAAGTTACACCCACTTATATCATATTTGAAACTTAAAATAAACATTATTGACATTGTAACTGAAAATATGTATCTCAATTCATATATCAATTCAAAAATCAAACAAATCAACGTCTACAATATTAGCTTACTTTTGATCAATAATAGCTGTATAACTAAATGAACATAAATCATGTAATAAAATAATGTATGAAAATAACATTAGGATAATATCTTACTTAATCAACAACTTGTGATCAATCATGATAATTACTATTTCAAGTTTTGTAGATTATGCTACTCAAAGACAATTTTTTCAGTATGTTCTTCACCGTTTAAATCACTCTTTATGATATCATTAAACTCCGATTGATATCTCTGTTTGAAGTTTGAATGATTTTTATATTTTTTCTAAGATTGAATCTCAAGATGTGATTGAGTTCTTATGCATAATTATTATATTTCAAAAGAACATTTAAGAAACCTCATGACGTCAGCGTTTACTTATCCAACTAAGAATAAAGACGAACTTGGTGGAATACAAACCGTACGAGAAGGCACTTGCTCTCGATAACCTCGATTGATATGGACAACACTAACTTAGTGACCTAATGAGGTGAAATGCACAAAAAATTCATGACTATATTGAAAGGTGGCTACTTAGCTCCTGCCAGATCAATAATAAAAATTTACTCTGTTGAATGTTAAACCAGACTCGGCTGTTTGTGGTATGGTCTGACTACTGAACCACTCTCCGCCATGCCAACCAACCCCCGCCCGGTTCGCATACTAGCCATTCCCTAAACAAATGAGGCCCATCCCGACAGAGGAGAATAAGCCTCTATAAGGTCTAGCCACAACTAGAAGCCAGGTTGATTTCCCGCCACAACACTCGTATATCTATGCTCTTGAAGATACATCAAGGGTGTAAAACCTATTCACAACCAAAGACGTGACCATTCTTTCAGAATGGTCGACGTCACAACTTACCAACAAATAATCCAGCATATTATAAAAACAAACATGTGATGCGTGCGGCAAAAAAAAGAAGAGGTTTATGATAGACAGCTGTATATACAAGGTATAAAAAACAGGCGGCCACGTTATCATGCCAAGGGACTTAAACCACTCATAAATGGGCAAAAACAAGGGTATCATAAACTGCAATCGAAGTGCTAAGTGAAAGCAAAAAACAACACTAACTTACCTTCACCTGTAGATGGAATAGGAAAACCAAAGGACATCAGAAGCCAAATGCACACAAACAGAAAGTGCTTGTTTTGTACATATCAATATCGATATAAAACGGGAGTGTGGAGATTTCATTTTGAAGAAAACTTAGTGCAAGTGTGTGGTGCCAAAATAGAAGAAGGTAAAGAGCAAAAGTTCTTATGGCATGATGTAGAGCAAGATGCTAGTCGAAAACATGACTGTAGACAGGACAATCATCAATATCAACTGCATTCTGTCTGGAAAGGTTAAAAAAATACACGAAAAGTTGCATGAATCCTCACTGTGAATACGTGCCGTATGAACATCTGATTATGCATACATAATCCGTCAACTTCAACAACAAGTAAGTGTTAGAACAGCGGGATCAAGTAGTATAAATCTCCAAACATCGACAGAATATTCCAAGATTGGAAAGATATTGATCGTTGTCGATGCCAGTTCAATAAACTCAATTTAACACTAAGTTTCTCAATTTCGAATGTAAATTTAGAATCACGGCGGAGACCTCCAACAAACCAAAGCAGCGTAGCGTATTTCCGCACCAAACGACTTCATCAGCGCCACCCAGCGAATAAAAGTCTTCATGTTTTCCTGTTTGTTGTAAAGGTAGAGGAGTGAAAACATGAATCTCCAATCTCAAGATAATAGATGCGTATGCGAAGAAAGGAGTTGAGGATGTTAAACATCAGCTCGGAACTCAGCACGTCAAGTTCTTCAGTTCGAGGCAGTGAGAAAAGGTATGGCATGCTCTAAAGACTTCTCCAATGAAATACTACCAAAGCGTCTTTGCAGACCTCGAATGACGTGAAGAGCTGCCACACTATGAACAAGCAGTAACTTCAAGACAATATTCATATCACTTACACACCTGTAAGGTGAATCTTGTCACTATACTTCCACCGTCAAGGGGCCTCTGGATGGTTGATAGAATCTGTTAGTGTCATCAATTCTGACATTTACACTCAGCTCGACTTATCGTGATCAATTTGTAAAAATGATCTGCTAAGATGATGCTAACACGACATCACTGTATACAATGGAATTAACTTGTCACATCGATGAAAAAGAATTCTAGCACAAGACAAGTTGATATCAAGTTGACTCCTTCAAGGCCGTGCCGACGGTCGCTTCTAAGTCAGGATTTGATAACTTTGTAGCATCCCGGTCAACTTCTAAACTTCGAGCGGTTGTGCTAGTCAACCGCTCGATTGTGAAGTTGTGGTTTGTGTATATGCAGCAATCGGCAGCTATTTTCATCGATTTCAGGGCTGCGACACATGCAGAACAAGTGTGAAAAGCTAAGAAGAACCTGATAGCTGATTTATTCTACATGGGACAAACTAACAGACTTGCTGTAAAACCAAAACACGAACAGGATGCAAGCAACTGCTATATAAGTTCAAGCCATAATCAATTCACGAGAAACTCCTTGACAAACTTATGCAGTCTGGCCAAAATCACACCTATAGTCTCGGCATCCATGTTGGGCAGATCAATAAGCGCTCTGGCAGCTGCTGAAGCATAAGAACCACCGGAGCCGATACCTGAAAGCAACCCCCCACAAGAATGTGAACAAAAACTAGATTTGAACACAGAGAGCTATTGTTCTGCATCGTAGAATTTGCACCTGTGATCACGTTGTCCCGTGCATTTGGATAGTAAGAATTGATACTAAGATCAAATGATACTTCTTCAAGTAAAACTATCTCAGTTGTGACCCACCTATGACACCGTCATATGGCTCCAAGACATCTCCATTTCCAGTTATAGTTAGAGATATCTCAGAGTCCGCAACCACCATCACAGCCTGGAATTGAACATAACATACAGTAAGAAAATCAGGTACTTCATATACTGGATCTGAAAGAGAATGAAAGACGCTTCAACATCTGACCCATGGAATGTGGAGTTCTACTGACAGGTACACACGGTTTGATGGTTCACAAACTGGTGCTACTCTACCTCCTACCCTCATTCTGCATGATACTCACAGAATGCTGCTAAAAAATTAGCTCACATCAAGGCGCCTTAGATACTTGTCACTCCGCCATGCTTTGGCTAGCTCCACGGCTGCTCGTGTAAGCTGTCATCATAAATAAAAATAATCATCACTGGGTAACGTCCAAATAGCCTCTGCAACCAAAAGCACTATCATGCGAAAAGTAGTTGATTGCCTCCCACAAGATTACGGAACCACGTTTAGTATATGTGACAGCCAGCAGGACATCTGCAAGATCTCCAGTGAACAGCAGATAATATCTATCTCTGTGAAGCTCAGTTCTAAACCCGACCCCGTATCCATATAGGTGGAAGATCGATAATGGAGCCAGATACCAGAGAAATAATTTACCTGACCTGCAAAGACAACGATAAACATTTTATTCACACAACATAGCTTGAGTGCATTAAATTAAAAACTTGAAGAAGATGCTGAAGTTCTCAACCAAGCTACCTTGTACATCATGCCATAAATGGTCAATATCCCTAGCCCACCTATGTGATGACTAGACAGAGGTTTTACCAGGGTGCTCTTCCAGTTTATTTTCCAGCCTTTCAAAGAGTGTGAAGGAGTCTGCTGTTGCACCTGCATCAGTGGCACGGTGAGTTCAGTACAATGTGCGTGAGTATAAATGACATGTTAAAAAACCACTCACATTAGATGTTGCCAACTAGGAGAAGATAGACTGACTCCAAAACAAGAGAATCCTCGTCCTTATAATTGTCTATCAAAAAGCAAGGATCCGCCGAACCTGCAAAGCCTCCAATGACAGTTTCCCCGATTCTGCGAACTTTCCGGACGTTCGGCTTGATAATTTCAGACCCGAGAGTAACTTGCCCATCTCCTATCACAATGACTTTATCATCCTTGCGCACACAGAGTACGGTTGTCCCTAGCATACCTCTATCCCCACCGTGCATATAATGAACATTCTTTGATCTGTAGAATCAATGAGCGTGTTGAGATCAGAAGTCTGCCAAAAAAAAGATCTCCCATCGAAGGAACGAGAGGCAAGAAAGAAAGAGTGTTGCAATGAAAATTGGGACAAACTTACGTGCAGTTAAGCAGGGGGGGGATTTGGGCAGATCCCGCTGATGGCCACAGTGGCCCATTTCCTGGAACATTTTTAGCAGTGTCTTAGTTTCAGATATCAAGGTGCCCAGGTCAGCAGTGAGTTTTAAGATTTTAACTCTAAATGGAACCTGTGTACAGGACTGAGGAGTGTGCAGAAACAACATCTCAACTAACTGCATTCGTTACTATTGACAATGCCTGCCATAGTCTGAAGAACATAGACTCCGCGACCTGGCCGAGCTACGTTAATATTGACAGACTGGGAAGAAGAGGAAGGAAGATGAAGGATGATGGGTGATGAGGAAAAGAGAAAAGAGAAGACTGTTGAAGAGTGCAGAGGATTTCTCGAAAAAAAATAGGGGTTTGGACCATTCAGGTGCCAACCAAGAAACGATCCATTAATTCATCGAACAGTACAGTTTCTTTGCCCCAAAAGCGATCACCTTCTGGCAACATCACTCCAGAGTCATCTCCGCAGAGAAGTAAAATCCAACAGTAGATACATATGGACACTAAATCAAGAACAAGGAACTGTCATTACGAATCAGAGCTCAACCAGAAGAAAAAAAAATGCAATGAAATTTGTTCTATCGTCCACCGACTTTAACCCACAAGATTTTTTCAATTCAGAACCTCAGTTGTCGTTCTACAGACGGTGGTCAAAATAGTAAGTCTGCTGGATAAGGATAATTGGTGACAAAGAGAGAACACATAGACCGAACGCGCACGACGGTGAAGAATATGTTTCACGGGTAACAGAGGTAAAATATTTTCAAGATTTCTAAAAAAATTCGGAAATAGCCATTCGGTCATATAACTATACGGTAAAATTGCAAGTTTTATGTCAATTCCCCTCCGAATTTAAATATGCACGTAAAAAGTACACGGACATGAATACATATTAAGACCAAGAGCGACGATACAATCAGTAACAGAACGGTAAAATCGTAGAATTGCTAAAATGAGTTGATCGAAGCATCAAGATGACTGATGGCATCTTACGATTCAAAAAACGAGCAGGCCGTAGTAGCGCTTGTACACGCCTGCAGCCCTGCATGACCAGCAACTTGGAACCACCCGAAGACAAAATTTGCTTCACCGCAAGAAAACCTCGTCCCGACGACGTGCCACTTCCTGCGACAGGCAAATGCAACAATGCTGTAGTACTGTATCTTTCCACTCGCCGATCTCACCGCTCTCGGCCTGCTCTACTACTGAACACTCAAATCCACCAGCTCCTGCAGCGCTCCCGAAGATTTGCACGCGGGGATTCAATTCCACCCTCCCTGCTTGTTGCTCCTGCTGCCATTCTCAGCCTCGATGCCGAGGAACGACGTCGGAGTCGTGGTGGCAGTGACAGCCATCGATGACCTGGTATAAGGGCGATGTGGTTGAACGACTACTGCGTACACGACGAAGCGACAGCGTTCCGCAATTTTCATTCGCAGTGTAGGACTCCTGGTCCGTCCTCGGGAGGATAATCGTATTATAAGAAGGACAGTTTCCCATACATACATCACATTGCGTTCTGGAATATCCGCATATGGCATTGTCTTTTATAGTGTACTGTACTATGCAAATTTAGATTAATATGACTACCATGGCGAACAACAGTCCCATCGTTGAGCCATCACGGACTGGTCTATATTGCCAGCTGCCAAAATATAACCCTTGACGGTTAATTGTGCTTTGATAAAACATGAGAGATTATGTCTGAACTTATTGGGCGAGCGGGCACCAACCTCTATGGTAAATGGTAATAGAGTTGTAATCTATCATTGTAATCGACATGCTATCCTGCTGTGTGTACCTATATATGTTTCATACAACTGAAATGTGTGGACAACAAAAAGAGGACATCGGGAATGATTGCTTGTAAAGCTTCGCGTATTCATTCACCACATGCAAAACAAGTGCAAAGCTATATCTATAGCAACAATAACACCTTCCAATCATTATCTATGTCCGCTGATATATAATAGATGTTTTTTGAGTCTCCAGATACATCCATAAATAGTGGACGGGAAATTGGTGAAACCAAGTCCCCTTGCCATAGCTTTTAAGCGTCTCATGTGAAACGCTCCATAACAAACTTTATGTGTCAATCTAGGAATATTCAGCCGCGTTCGTTGGAAATTGCATAGTGAATCTGTTATGGAAAGATTGGTCGATTTTGTGAAAGGAACCATGAGCAAGCAAAACCAAAAAAACAAATTAAATTTTTAGTTTTAATAGTTTGTGCCACAATTCAAAGAGAAAGCATTATTTCTGTAAGTTTTAAATATTGCCAAAATTTTCATGAGATTACGGAGTGCCTTTTCAGGAAGCTGTAAATGTTTCTTTCGTTGGTCAAAACACATTTTTCGGGATTAGCGCTGAAGATGAGGATCCGTTACCCCCACTCGTATAATCGAGCAGAGCTTTAACAGCTCTGACCAGTTTCAAAAGATCTTTCAGCCGGAGTCCCCCCCTATTACAGGTGCTTCACATTTTCATTGGTTAAAAAGGGTCTCTAGAGCTCATGTGCCGGCAGGGTTCACTTTCTCCCAAACCCTGCGAGCACAGCCGCGTTCCAATGAGCGAACTGAACTTGGGAGCGAGTATAAATGGTCTTTTATAACCTACCTATAACCCTCGACGGCAAACCCGTAATATGAGTACAGTAGTTTCGGAAATTTGAAAGACAACCATTTGTTAGTGCAAAATTTAATAATACCTGCAAGTGAAGAAAAAATTCATTTCTCTCCTCTTCTATTTATTACTAGGAAAGAGTTTATCCCGTATCCATCATGAAAGATTCTATGAAACTGCCCAAATCAGACGTATACAGATGTATAGAAACAGGAATGGCTTTATAGGATTTGTTCACTTCGGGTCCATTCTGTTCTGTCTTGAGAGCGTTTCGAGTATTTCAAAATTATAGTTGTGGATAGACCTACTTGTCAAAGTATAAAGTATCACAACTGTTGCTTGAGTAGATAGAAGTCATGGATGCATAGATTATATATTACTTTGCTTGTGAGGCTTTGCTTTGTAATATTGCCAGTGGTATTCTATCTCACGTTTTATTCCATGCTTAACCGTATTCCTGATTTTTTTGCGTCTGGCGAAAGAGAAAGTGATTTACTCCAATACTATACTATCAATATTAAAATATTTTAATAAATTTTATATTCTATAAAAGTATTTTGATGTCGAAACTGAAATTTGAAACCCTTCTTATCAGTAGAATTGCTCCATCCATGTTTCGTTCGTGGAGATTACTTAGGAGACAATCAAAAGGTGTTTAATAAAAATACTTGTATCGTTGTAGTTCATCAACAATCAGTTTTTAGCTAGAAAAAGCACACACTAATTAAATGCAGCACCATTAGTGAATATATCATCACTGAATATCTGCCTTATTGGAACGGCCCCTATTGAGTGGATACATGTGTTGGTCATATTCACCCTCCGAGGAAAGCCGACATTCTATGCCCTTCGCCCGACAGGCACAGAACAGTTGGCCCTCAGCTCGATTTGAGGGCGTGCTGGTTGCTAAAAAAATAAAAATATTCCTCCCTGCTCCGGGCTGGTAGATTTTTGTTGGCTGTATGAGCTGGATAAAGGATCTCAAGATCAGCATCCCTTCTTCAAATAGTGTATCATGCACAATTACGTCATTGTCTGTCTTAACTTTCTAGCCAATTTCATTGTAAGTTATCTTGTGATATGCGACAATTGAGGGCTATACATTGAATCATGTGAGAATGAGCATAGTCAAAACAAAACATGGAAAGCAACTCAGAAAAAAAGACGTTAGTCAGAAGCAACTCAGAAGTATAAGTCATCCTCTTAACAAATCCCAAGTTTGTTTATAAATCGAAACCATAAGTGCAAGGGAGAGTTGACTGTAAGATACTTCAACGGGGAGGAGATTTTGTTGGTTAGAAGAAAATGTAACCTCCCTACAAACGTGGGACGATTTTCCATGTGATATTCAAGTTTTTTTCTTGCTGATAGATTTCTTCATTTCTTCTAGATTTTTTACGAGGTTTGATACAGAAAATTTTGATATTCCAACTTTTTTGGATATGCCATATACCATCGACATGTCGAGATTAACAATAATGGAAGATTGAGATTCTGTAAACGGTAGAGCAAGCTCGCGTGAGTGCGACGGACGTGAGAGCAGGGAGCATGTGCTGCGAAGTGTCGCTAGTGGTAACAGTAACCACGTGGGGCGTGTGTGGGCCTGAGCACGTCGAAATCGTCCACCCCATTTGGCCGCCCTGCCAATTTAGCCACATGCTAACTTTACCGCTGTCAACGGACCTCTCGGACCCGGCTGGTGCGCCTACCACATTTCGTGTCATAAATAATCATGTTACTGTATTTCAGACAGAACTGAAGAATCTGGGAGCTCTGGTTTGCCATCGCCGTCGGATATGGCATCTACCGGCTCCAAGGCCCGGTCTCTCCTCTAGACTGACATGAACGTCATGGATCGAAATCCCCCACGAAAAGACGCACGAAGAATGGACTCTGTGTACTTCCTTACACTGTTTTAACTCGTTTACCTCCGGCCAGCCCGGACTAATGCCTAATGACAGACTAATCATCTAATGCCTCCCGGAGCCGATGATGGTGAGAGAGGTAAGCCTCGACCAAGGTTCGACAACCACAGTTAGGCCTCGATTTAGGTTCGAACGTCGCAATTCTGATTTTGGTCTCGGATCGGGAAGGATAAGGAAACCAACTTTCGCATGCGGTAATCTTATTTCATCGAATCTGATTCCGAGTGCTTTGAAGTCGCCCCACCCACTCCTCGAGGCCGATCTAACCCGTGGTTGATTTTGAGCTCATGGCTCAGTTCTAGATCTTTTATGTTCTCTTCTTTAAAACCAACTGGTTAGGTTTAACCTTACATGGCTCCCAGAGTGATGCTACTCGGGCCTAGCCCATGGTTACTCGGTTGGTCTCGACCCATCCTTTTCGTCAGTTTACTGGGTTCAACCTTCCTCGAGTTCGGCTGCATCATTGACATGCGGTTCGAACTCACTGTTCGTGGTACACACTCACTGTACTCACTTCTGATCCATTTGGAAAATTCGTCAAGGGTGAACTGGGTTAAGGGACTTACTCAGTCGTCCAAAATCTGCGTAGCGATCTGCTTCTCTCTTCTTCTTCCAACCGTGTTCTCGTTGTCGATAGACCAGAATTTGCTCAACGCTTACGTGGCGCCTGGCCGGGTGCGAGGGAGTATTATTGAAGGGCGGGAGGAAGTAAAACGAGTTAATTAATGAAGGAGGAAGCAAAGTGAGATTACAAAAGCATGGGCAGACTTGTCAAGAGGGACCCTATACGAGCTCATTCAGCAAGTCAATCTCCGACGTGACCGGTGGAACGGGGATTGGTACCGCGATCACCGACTCTCGCTGTTATCTCCATCACATTTACGCGACCCGTCCCCGCCCGTTAGCGGGTGGAAGCGATGCCATCATTGCAGCCGTCCTGCTAAGTACACCTCCTTCCAACTTAAATCCTGACAGCGACCTTCCACTTACGGCTTGTCGTTGTCGAGCAGTTGGGCGTCTAGCACTGCCACATGCTCTCGAGGCCTTGACTCCGGAGTTCACCATCTGCGTGAAATAGCGGACTGCCTCTGACATCGACCGCGGCTACTGCACTTGTCAACGATGTCCGTCGGTCTCACGTTCCGGTCACCGGGCCTTCATTCTCTTGTGACAGCGGTGACAGTCCGACCGGAGAACCCGGTGGCAAAAAGGCGCCTTCTCTTTTCCCCGAAGTCTGTCAGGGAAACATATTCCCGCACATGTTCCCAATCTTATTGAAACTGCGAAATGTTTAACCTATTTTCTTAAAGGAAAAGAACACGCGGAGGTTAGAGGCCGAAAGGGCATTCTACGTCGAGTGTCGATTTGGACGGATTTGTGAGGAGCGCGGATTTCGTAGTTGAAAGGATACGCATGAAAAGCGGACGAGAAGTTGCGCGGTCGACAATTCTGAACAGAAGACAGCGTGAAAAGCTTGGAAAGAGTCCTTTTTTGTAAAGTATTTGGTCCACCCTTCGTTGGTAAGGAGGAAGGTAGGAGAATCAAAATCAAAGTGTGCATAGGAGATGAGAAGAATCGAGTGATGTTGAACATAATGTGCACGCTTCTCTTCCGCCAGAGCTCTGAAGATCCAGACCAGTATAATGCATCCTTTGCATTCGCCTGGTCTTTGTTGGACTAGCACTGGAACCAATGAGCATCGTGAAATTCCCAGTGACTCAGTTGCAGCCCCATGTCCAGAGAGCAAACAACAATGAACAAACCGAATTCGAGTCCAGGAAATCCCTAAACGACCAAGGGAGACGAAAGAGACAAGTGCCAAATGGCAGCATGTGAGAGCATTGACTCGATCACTAGCAAGGCGAATCTAACGACGCCTCTAGCTGAAAATTCGTCCTCAAGGATAAATCGTCCAAATCAGCGGAACTCTCTTGCGCGTGGTCATCAATTCCGAAAAGCAGCCCTGTAGTCACACGGCCTACAGAACATGTCTTGGAACCGTGGTCCGCCGTGGTCCTTTGCGGTGCGCAGCTGGCCAAAGAAAGAACGGAACGAAAAGGGCAGAACTCTCGAGTGCAAGGGGAGACTTCGATCCATCCGCAGCTCGGGGATCGAGTTCGGCCGTCTCGTAGGTGCGGATCCGAAGAGCGAAAGCGGACCCACATTTCTTGGCACCGGCAAGAGCAGGCGCCGATTTCGGGGCGGGCGCTCGTCGGGTCCGCGACTCTGAATCTCCGGCTCGCCACTTTGTCAGCGCCAGCGCGGGGCCGGCGTGAGCCCGCCCGCCTCCGAACCAGTCGAGCAGTCGAGCAGCGCCCGACCGAGCAGGCGGCGTCAGGCGGAGGCGCGTCGCGGAGGGTATTGCGGCAGCGGGGAGTGGGTGCTTTTTCGCCGCACGATGGTAAATCGGACGGCGTTCCGCGTCCCCGGCGGGTCCCACCCGCGGTGGTGCTCGCGCTTTCCGGCACCGGCGGGAGAGCTCGATGCGGCTGGCAGAGCTCAGGCCGGCCGGCGGGAGGATTCATAGGCCTTGTGTCGATCTTCCAATCGTCCCTCCGTCCAGTCCATTCTCGGAAAAGAGGAGTTTTACATCTTCGTAGATTAGATCCATCGTAAGGAAGGCGTTGCTGCAGATCTTCGCTCAGAGGCAGCTTCCCTTTTCTTCAGCCTTTTGTCGATTTCGGGTGTGAAATTCTTTGGGAATAGCTCTCTCTTAAGCCCCATCAGCATCCGCGTCTTCGAGATCACTTCAGCAAGGAAAGGAAGAGAAGAAGAAGAAGAAGTTCTTGAGAAAAAAGGAGCGACATTTAAAAATCAATATATGTACTTTTTTTGAGTCGAGGATTGCTTGTGTGGTTGCGTCATCGTTTGGAGCGCCTGCTGTGCTGTTGTTGTGCAGAATGGAATGAGTGCACTTGGAGCTTTGATTTCTGTTTCCTTCTGTGATGGAAGGAGCCGACAGTGATGTACTGGAGGGGAGAGGAGTGGAAGTGAAGGCTAAGGAGGAGGAGGAGGAAGCAGCGGCAGCAGATGCAGGAAATGAATCTAAGGAAGGGCAGATTGATGCTGGAGCGGGATCTAGGAGTAATGCCTCTGGACAGGACCCCGAGGGCGAGCAATGTGGTGAAGAGAAGCTTGGAGGTGGAATTAAGGCCGACGATGGGGCAGGGGAAGAGGTCGGAGCTCCTCCCGCGAGAGATGCTGCAGAATCCCAGTCCTTGGACAAGTCCTCTGTGACCGGCAAAGAGGTGATGACAGTGTCAACTGGGGAAGATCATTCGTTGCCTGAGTCCCCAATGGCGTTCTCTACTCCTTCCTCTCAAGCCGAGTCTAGAGGCTACTCAAGGCATGCCCTCGTCGAGAGTGCAAGATCGATTTCCTCCACTGCCTCTATCAGCGAGTATACGGAAGACGAGGACGAAGGGACCTCTCAATGCAGCACAGGTCTGGAAAATTCGCCGCTCACAGCGGCGGGCAGAGAGGATCAAATGCAGGCAAGCGAAAGGAGAATGCCTGCGTCGTATGGAAGTTTGGATCGAGACGGCGATCATGGATTTGAGCAGGTTTCTTTACAGGACCCCGGAGGAACTGAAACCTCGGACAGCCGTCTCAATTCAATCGAGAGGAGGTCTTCGCCGGTCGTCGTGGATTATAGAGGGCCAGGACGGACGAATTCCGAGGATCGTCATAGAGATGTGGGCAGCAAGGAAATAGAGATTGTAATGGTTGATGAACAGGAGCAAAATGTCGACCGGTTTGTCGGTAGGGAAATATCAACACCGACAAAGGGGCGGATTTCTGACGTTTCTTTGACATCATTAGAAACTCCTCAAGGAAGTCCGCAGTCCGAACCGTACATCAGGGATACGACTGGCTCCAGTAGATTCAGGTACAATCAGAGTTTCACTCAGAAGGCTGACCTCTTCAATCAAAATGGATCCTTCTTTGAAACTCAACTTCATGCGGGGACCTTCGAAAATTTCCTTTACCCTCAGGGAAATCTTCCCAATCTTGCGAAGGTACTCCCCAAGACCTCTCCGGAGCTCATGCATTTGATTGATTCTGCTATACAAAATACAGATCTATATTCTTTGCTTCGACTGAAAAGAGTCGTTGCTGGAGAGGATCATCTCGCAATATCAGGAGAAGTGAAGAAGGATACGGACAGTGTCGCAGCAATCGTGGTGGATGTCCTCCTGGCAAAGATGGGAATTGACGGATCGCAGAAAGCAAGCGAAGGCTCACCTCCGAAGATTATGCTCAGCGCTGGGGCTGCCATTGTAGCCGCCAAGTTACTTCCCTGGCTACCTTGTGAAGAACAATCGGAGGAGATTGCCTCACCTCGAACTAGAATGGCTAAGGGATTAGCACTGGTATTGCAATCGTGTACTCGAAACAGAGCAATGTGTTCAGCAGCTGGTCTGTTGCAAGTACTGCTTGAAACTGTTCGTGACATTTTCACCGTTGAAGTAGCCGAAGAAACGCCGGATGAAAGCTGGGACTCCACTCCGCTATTAGATGCCCTCGAAGCACTTGGTTCACACTGCATGACTGTCATGGACCTCAGAGAATGGTTGAGCACAGCTGTGGTCTCCATTCCAACGGGGAAATCTACGGATCTCGTACTGTCCTTGGAAAGGGCAATGGTGGGAGAAGAGACTCGGGGCCCCTCCTACACTTTCGAATTTGATGGAGAAAGCTCAGGGTTGCTGGGACCTGCAGAGAGCAGATGGCCTTTCATGAATGGTTATGCGATTGCAACTTGGCTGTTTATAGAGTCTTTCGCTGATACCGTCAACACAGCTGCGGCTGCTGCAGCAATTGCAGCAGCTGCAGCGGCCAAGACTGGGAAGTCATCAGCTATGTCTGCAGCAGCAGCTGCTAGTGCTCTTGCCGGAGAAGGAATGGCCCACATGCCGAGGCTTTTCAGCTTTCTTTCAGCTGACAATCATGGTGTGGAGGCCTATTTTCATGGGCAATTTTTGGTTGTAGAAACTGCAAACGGTAGGGGCAAGAAAGCTTCCATGCACTTTACCCACGCTTTCAAGCCTCGTCAGTGGTATTTTATCGGCCTCGAACATACTTACAAACAAACTCTTCTTGGAAAGACAGAAAGTGAAGTAAGATTGTATGTAGACGGACAACTATACGAAACTCGTCCACTTGAGTATCCCCGGGTTTCAAGGGCCCTCGGATTCTGTTGCATCGGTACAAATCCACCGCCCGCTATGGCTGGTTTACAACGGCGAAGACGTCAGTGCCCTCTCTTCGCTGAAATGGGACCCGTGTACATATTTAAGGAAACAATTGGACCAGATAGAATGGCCCGCTTGGCAGCAAGAGGAGGAGACGCGCTACCTTCTTTTAATGCTGGGGCAGGGGTCCCATGGTTCGCAAATTCAGAACAAGCATTTGCTGCAGCGACTGATAGTGCCACCTTGGATATTGAATTAGGGCCACGATTGCACCTCTTATACCATCCCAAACTCTTGATGGGCCGTCTGTGTCCGGATGCTTCACCCTCAGGGGCATCAGGTAACGCCTTGTGAACTTAAGAAGCTTTTTGGGAGTTTTATGTTGTGGACTTGGGGCCGTTTCAGCAGGTGAAGAACTCAACTACTACTACGGAGAGTTTACAGATTGATTGTCGTATGTTGCATACAGGACTTCACAGAAAACCAGCAGAAGTATTGGGCCATGTACATCTGGCTGTTCGTACTCGGCCTACAGAAGCGCTTTGGGCCATGGGTGAAGGAGGACCTATGGCTTTACTTCCATTGACGGTCGGTGCTGTGGATAAAGATTCCTTCCTACCTGTTATCGGAGACGTGGACTTATCAGCCGCGGTGGCTATGCTCTCGGCACCGATATTTCGAATTCTCTCAGTGGCCTTTCAGCACCCTGGAAATGCTGAAGAAATGGCTAGGAGCTATGCACCCAGGTTGCTTGCTTACTTGTTGGGTCACCTCGTATCTGTACCAGCTCTTGGAGAAGCCAAAGGCAGGTTTGTAGATCAAGTAAGGACCGAGGAGAGGGATGAGGAGCTGGTTTCTGCTGTGGTTTCTCTTGCTCAAGCACCTAAGAATAATTTCGGTCTCAAAGTGCAGTTGTACGGCACTTTACTCCTCGACTTGAAATTGTGGTATCGTTGTGCATATGGACTCCAAAAAAAGCTTCTGTCAACTCTTGCAGACTTGGCTTTCACCGAAGCTTTGACCATGCGGGGTGCCAATGCTGTACAACTCCTCTTAGATGGATGCCGACGTTGCTACTGGGTTATCCCTGAAGCTGACTCTTTGCATCTCTATGCGGGTGGGAGATCATCGAGGCCCGTTGGAGAGTTGAATGCTCTTGTTGACGAGCTTCTTGTAGTCGTGGAGTTACTGGTGGGATCTGCACCTCTTCCATTGTCAGGAGCTGATGTCTCTTCTCTAGTACAATTTGTTCTTGACTGTCCACAACCAAATCAGGCAAGTCGACCGGCTCATTTAATCCATATAGGAAGGCTTGAAGTAATTCTCATTTTGTGGAGGACTCCATATTGAACTCAAGTATCATGAAATCCTGTTGTATTGGAGTCAGCAAAAGTCTAGGCAGTTGGCCTTTGGACAGTAGAGTTGGTTCGCCAAGATTTTTGAACTCGGCATTATACTCGGCCTCACTCTAATTAGTTCTTGCTGCACTGTGAACTCGACTCCTGTGTTGAACTTGGAATCTTAGTTCAGGATCTTGCTGTAGCCTCTGCAGCACGTCTAGCTTTAAGGTAGAAGGTTAACTGCGATCATTTTTCTTCGAAACGTTGTATAATACCTTCAAGCCCTTCGTATATAATTGCTCCTCCCATCTTGAAACAATCTAAGCAGACTGAAGCTACCTTGCTGGTGAAGTTATTAGTATACGGTTAAATTAGCGTTGTATAAGGTATGAGATTAATTAAATCTAATCAGTTGACTCTGTGTTGGTCTCCATCGTGAGCATAAATGTGCAAGAACGTGAAGATTTCCTTTCTTTGTGTGCTCTTTGTTCCGTATTGTATTGACGTTTAACGTTTTGCAGGTCGCACGGGTGTTGCATCTCATCTACAGGTTGGTCGTTCAGCCCAATTCCGGGCGAGCAGCTTTGTTTGCAGAGACACTTCTTGCAAGTGGAGCTGTGGAGATGCTCTTAATATTATTACAGCGAGAAGCTGATCTCCTAGAACCTATTTCTGGAATATTGACCGTGGAGGATAATACAAGTGAAGCATCAGTTACCATCTCCGAGAGTAGCAGAAGCAACAGCGCAGCATCTTTAACTCAAAACGAAGGAGGTTCAGAAATTTCTTCGTTAGGGGAAGATTCTGCTCCCCGGCCTGAGCAAATATCAGATGTTCCTTCTGGGTTGCCTCCAATCAAAGTCCGTGGTTCAGGCTCCACCAAATCCTTGGCAGACAAGTCTAGGCCTAGATTGCCCTCCTTACGAATTGATGTACCGGGACAAAAGAAGTATGCTGGGAGGAATCTAGGGGGAATTAGCTTATCCATTAGTGCCGATACCGCGAGGAATAATTTTCGTAATGTCGATAGTGGGGACGGTATTATGGTCGGGGTGGTAAGCCTCGTAGGGGCTTTGATCTCCGGGGGTTTTTTGAAGCTGATCAGCTTTTCTTCTGCTGCTACTATCGCCTCTGGGAAAAATTCCAGTGAGAATGCTTCTCTCGGAGAAGGCGGGATCGGAATCGCTGTTGGCATTGGCACATGGATGATGTATGCACTAAGGCAAGCGTTTGAAGCTGCTCCAAAGAGGCTCCTGACAGATAATGTTTATTCTGTTATTCTTCACGCTGTTGTGCGACTCGAGGTCAGTTTACCCACTAAATCTCACTCCTCATTTCCTTCATGTCTAACAGAAACTAGTGATGTGTTGCAGAGGTTAAAGACGTAAGCTTGTATTTCTCTTCTTAACTGCTGAGTCTTTAGAAGGTACGCTTTTCATGTCAGTACCTCTCTCCGTGGAGGTTGCTTGGAGATGACATTGATTCTGGAGGTTTACTTGTGGCAACATGTGCTTTCCATGCACTCGGATTGCTCTCAGATGGGAAGCCTGGCATCACAAGATCGTCTGATGCTGTATGATTCCGGGCACAGATTTGAGCATGTTGACTTACTGTTGGTGCTCCTGCAATCCCTTCCATTTGCTTCACCGACGCTTCAGCACCGCGCTCTACAGGTGAAGATGAACAAAAGTTTATGTCTGCTGCACCCTTTTCTCCTCGTAACTATTGTCTGGTGGTTGCTGTTGTATAAAGGGGTTGTGCTTAAATGCATACAATACTCAGGTAAAGATACTGGTTTGCCCTCAAAATGGATGTTACTTTGATAACAATAGAATTTTATTCGTATTTGCAGGACATACTCTTCCTGGGGTGTATCCATCCAGAGAATAGATCGATATTAACTGCGATGCCAGAGTGGCCAGAGTGGCTTCTAGAGGTTCTTATAAGCAATTATGAGGTAAGACTAGGTTCGAAGTACTCACTATTTTGGCGGTTCTTCTCGGATATCACGTTTACAGTTGTCTCAGTTATTTCCTTTCCTTGTTGTCAAACTTCGGGGTTTTTCTCCACTTCTTTCTTCACGGTATAATGATTTAATCAATTCGCCCTTTGCTAAATCAAAGAACTAAATTCGGAGGTCTTGTAGCCCAGCGGACTATGTGTATACTCTTACCTTTGAGGTACTTGTCCATGTAGGTCGTACCAGGAACGCGGCCTGATGGATTAGTAAGTTTTGAGGATGTCGAAGAGCTCGTGTACAGCTTCATCACAATTATGCTGGAATATTCGATGAGGCTAAAAGATGGCTGGAAGGTATATGAGTGAACCTACTGTCATTTTATTTTTGTACGGTTTTTCAGTTTTCATTTAATATGAAGCTTATTAAGTTTGCTTGATTTATTCTCTGGCTTGTCCTGAAAATATGCATTCGCACACTTCTCCTGCAGGATGTAGAAGCCATGGTGCACTGTGCTGAGTGGTTGGCTATGATTGGTGGATCAAGTATTGGAGAGCAGCGTCTGCGGTACAGTTTCTTATTAATATTGTTTGCTGCAAAATGAAATGGGTTTGTGGATATCGCCTTTATTTTATGTTCAATTTTGCAACAAAATGTGTCTCATTTCGTGGGAAATGTGGATTTGAGTATTTTTATTCAAGTTAATTTGTAGTGGGTATGTTTTGTTAATATAGTAGAAATATATGTCTTCCAGAGGGCAAGTTTTCGGCTATTATTGCTGGTAGCAATAGTCTGCTGGTTTGATAATCTCCGAGTCTAGCTAGACTTCCGTGAGGTTGAAACTGCAACAAGCATCACGTCGTAGTTCATGACATGCTGTTCTTTGAATCTGGCGATTGAAGCTGATCTGAGCTATCTAATTACTATTTGAAGACTCCCTTGCCACCTCCTCTATCCACGTCTGGATCTGGCTTTTCGCTAAGAGTAGTTATCCGACTCACTCAAGACCGAAATAACTGGATATAGATTTGACTGGTCGTTTCTTCTGTCTTGATCCGAAATTTATATGGGATGCTAGAAGTGAGAAGGCTGCCGTGCATTCATGAATATCTTTTGCCAGATTAAAGCCAGGTTGAAAGTTAAAGACATATAACGTCCCAGAGTCGCGGTTTGTGAACCTGCCTCGAAGTGCAATGTATGATCTGGTCATTGAGAAAATATCTATCTATGTCAGCATATGCCTCGATCATTACATTGACCATCTTACGTTTATCTCGTCAGCCGCGAGGAATCCTTGCCGATTATAAAGAGAAAGCTTCTTGGAGGATTACTAGACTTTGCAGCCAGAGAATTACGTCTGCAGGTAATTCAGATATTTTCCTGGTGCACGTATTTCCAGAAATCACTCACACTCCGTTTTCATTAGTTTGAACAGAATATGTTTTGAAGGTTATTTTTGATACCGTCATATGATCTTTTGCAGACACAAGTTGTCGCCACCGCAGCGGCAGGAGTTGCAGCTGAAGGCTTGTCCCCACGGGCGGCAAGAGCAGAAGCTGAGGCTGTTGCCCAGCTTTCCATGTCTCTTGCGGAGAATGCGCTTGTAGTCTTGATGCTTGTCGAGGACCATTTACGTCTGCAGTGTCAAGTCTATGGTTCTAATTCCTTGGGATCAACCACTGGGCAGTCAACATCTCCCGGAACACGTCCACCCAGCTCGGAAGGAAGCTACGACTTTGCAGAGAATCCAGTCTTAAGAAGAGTTTCATCTAGTTATGATAAAAGTATCAATAGTTTGTTGGACTTACCTTCTCCCAGGAGATACGCAAATGGTAACGAACCCAGTGGGGTTTCGCTAGAGGTAACAATTTCGCACATTACGAGTGAACTCATTCATGCAAGATTTCAATCTGATACTACTTCAAGTTTTGGCCTAATTAGACATCCTCTTTACCAATACTTGTTTCCTTTGACAAACTCACTTGGTTGAATTACTGATGATTACAAGTGCTTGTGATCATCAAATGTCTGTATCAGGTTCTTGCTTCTATGGCAGATGCCAACGGTCATATATCGGCAGCAGCCATGGAACGTCTGACAGCTTCTACAGCTGCTGAGCCTTATGAGGCCGTCCGAGGTGCCTTTGTCTCTTTTGGTACTTGTGGACCAGAATTAGGGGATGGTTGGAAGCGACGAAGTCGTATGTGGTATGGTGTCGGACTCCCGGCTCCAAATACAGCTTTGGAGGGCGGCGGTGGCGGGTGGAAGGTTTGGAAGACGTCCGTGGAACGAGATGAACACGGAGAATGGGTTGACCTTCCGTTGGTGAGGAAATGCGTCGCTATGTTGCAATCCCTCCTCTTGGATGATTCTGGTCCTGGCGGGGGTGGTGTCGGCTTTGGTGGAGGAGCGGGTACTGGTTCTGGTGGAGCACATGCCCTTCAGCAATTGTTGGATAGCGACCAGATTTTCTTCACTATGCTCCGCATGGTTCTGCTTTCACTCAGAGAGGAGGATAAAGGAGACTTGTCTGCAAAGAGAGATGCGCCGACTGAAATCGTTCGCCAAATTTCGAAATTTTCTCTTGATCCAACTCTACCGTCGGAAAGTCTACATGCTCTTACGATGAAGAAGGCAAAGACATCACTGCTCTGGTGGTGAGAAGACACTTCCGTTGCTTAAGACTGTTTTTCAGATACTTACTATGATGCTTCATGTCAATACACTGCTTCTAGAACTTTCTGGGTTCATTAGGGGATTTTTTCCAGTTTATTGTAAAAAGACATTATAAATGGCCGTGTAAACGTCTTGATGAACCTCGGTGAAAGTTTGTGGAGATCCAGTAGTAGAAATCTGAATACAATGAAGATATTGCTTGTTTCCATTTTCTTCTGGAACAAAGTCGTATTTGTAAATGACTATACTCTGACTTTTATATTGTATTGTGCTGCAGCATACTTGCTCCTCTCATAACAATGCCGTTGTCAGAGGCGAGACGGCAACGTGTTCTCGTTGCAGTCTGCATCCTATATTCAGAGGTAAGTCGTATACTTAATAACTTTTTGAAAAATATTCATAAACTTGTGTAGCATTACAAGCAGTCAACATTCCGGGTGTTACGAAGGGTAGGCAGGGTAAGCCCATGCCAGCGCTTAAACTTCTAAGTATTCACGATGGTCTTTTAGAATGGAGGACAATGACGAAGACTAACCGGAAAGCTGCGGAGAAAATAAATCAAGGCTTAGTACATTCTATCAAATCTAATATGCCTAAAATTTAACTAGATTTTGGTATCTGTTGTTTCATTTTGAATCATTCTTCCCTTGCAGCCATTTGAATAATCTTCACTTGTTTGATTCAGATTTGGCATGCCGTCAGCAGAGATCGAGTTGTTTTGAGGAAGCACTATGTGGAGACAATATTTCCTCCTTTCACGGCTTTATTGAGGCGTTGGAGACCACTTCTATCAGGGACTCACGAGCTGACTGATGCCGATGGCCAGAGTCCTCTTTCAGTAGAGGATCGATCTATTGATTCTAACACTCTTCCATTAGAGGTTTGTCATGTACTTTATTCTATTGATCAGTTTGTGTCAAGTTTAAGTCTATTCTACATCTGCATAAAGTCACCCAAAGGTCGGTGTGTTCAGCAATCTTCGCTTTGGTGGATAATTACTGCTCGTCATCTGTCAACGTAGAAGCCTCAAACTACATGCGATTAGCTGTTACTAACTTTCGTTTTCCTTCGTTTCTGTCACCAAGGAAAGACATCAACATTTTAATTTTACTTTGTGATCATTCGTCTCTTCTGCAGGCTTCTCTTTCTATGATATCTCCTGCATGGGCAGCGACCTTTGCCTCACCGCCAGCCGCGATGGCCCTTGCTATGGCTGCTGCTGGAGTAGGGGGTGGTGAAGCTATCACTCCCAAAACCATGTTTGGAAAGCGAGAACTAGATCCTACCGAAAGAAAGACCTTTCGCCTTCGTAGTTTCCAAAAGTTGCCTGATTCACCCAAGCCCTCAGCTCCACCAAAAGATAAAGCATCTGGAAAGGCTGCAGCCGCAGCCGCAGCTCGTGAGCAGGAACGAAATGCCAAGATAGGGTCCGGCCGAGGCTTAGGGGCTGTGGCTATGGCCACATCTACCCATAGGAGAAATCTCGGTGATAAGGAGCGAGCCAAACGCTGGAACTTGTTGGAATCTATGAATACTGCTTGGGACGATTGTTCTTTTTTGACAGCTACGTCAACAGTAGATCCGCCAGGAAAATATTTCTCCAAACTCCAGGGGATTTTACATGCGTTGGTGGAGACTGCAAGCACCTTACGTACTGCTGAGGTTTGCTCCAACATTCGACTCCTCTCTCGATTATATTATTCTTCGTCCTTCAAGCTGTGAAAAATTCATGTTTGGAGAAAGCCTGCTTGGTGAAAATTCTCTGTCTGTAAGAAGCGAGTAAAGAGAATATAGAAGTGACCAGTGTCCAGAATGTCCATCTTATAACTTCTGCCTGTTCATAGAAATTAGCCTGCAGTGATGGCTCTCGTCCACCTTTTTTTGGGAGCAGAGATCACGTTGACCTTGCAGTTCCAGTTCTTGTTTCGGGCTAATGAACGAACATGTTTTATTCCCCGAAAGCTGCTTACTACGTTTCCGCACACATGCCATTATAGGAAGCACCTGCCATACTATCTGGCTTTCGTTGGTTTGACCTTATTTGTTGGTCGTTGCCTGCAGATGAAGAGACGTGCACTTTCAGCCGCTGCTGATGAGTTCGGCGCAGCTGTGGGTGCTCATTCATGGAAATCTCTCACTCATCGCTTATTGGAGATTGAAGCCCTCTTCGGTTTACTTGAACAACAAATTGGCCATCCTCAGCAAGTAAGAGGGCCGGCTTAAAAAGTTATCTTTAAATTGTCTGATTGCACTTGTCGTGTTTTACCATTCCTCTCTTCATCTCATTCCCTCGTCAGAGTTGCTTGTAGATTCTGACATTTCGTGTTAACAGTATTTTTCAATGCGAAATGTTCCTACTTAATTGGTGAATGAATCATTTCAATTAGTGCTAGTGCTTTCAAGTTTAATTATGCAAGCTTTCATAACAATTTATCTTAGTTAAGACTTGCAGTCAAATGACGATAGTCTCGAGATGAATGAGCAAAGCTAGACTTGCTGTTAGCCGTCAGATGTTGACTTTCATTTGTTGTAACTTCGTCAAATAATCTCTGAGGTAGAAATATGTTTCTTACCGAAAGCTTCCCGCTTTTTCAGAGTCTCGATACCCGCCATTTTCTTGCCTTCAATACAGGAAAGTCGTTGAGTACAATATACATTGACAAACTTTTGTTCAACTTCCCTATACCAGTGTGATATACCGTGAGTCAAAACCTGAGAGATTGAGATAACTTTTCCAGCTCTTACTTCTCTTGAGCCATACATATGGTGCGCTCCCAAGTATTTGTAGTACTTGGTAGCGAGCCTCTACCTCAAGTCTTCGTGGATTCGACGTAAAAATAGGGACTATTGTTTAAGATGCATAAGAGAGCTGATTTGTTGGCTTATCCTTCGCCGGCTTAGTGGTAACCGGCATCATTATTACCGAATTCCTGAATAGTGGAAGACATTCTCAAGTTGTCAGTGGGTCACTCATTTTTATCCTGTCTATGGATTTTTATCACTTTTATTTTCGGGGCTACTGGCTCTACTTATAATAAGTAATCTACTAATCGTCTTAACTCGTGATTCTTGTACCCCATTCCGCGTTCCCAAACTAATGGAACGAAAGAAGAGCGGACGCTGGACTTCCGCTCAGGAATTCAATACGTTTAGATTGACCATCTTCCCGTTCCGCCACACTGGCATTCTGCTTGCTTACGTGTCAGTTAGTACTTTAGCATGTTCATCCCTGCACTGAAATGAGCAGTGTTTGAAAGTATCAAGAGAACGATTACATAGAAGCAGCTTGCCTGCTCTTCAATAATGAAACTCGCGAGGATGTATACTATCTCTTCAACCCTGCTACTTCTCTGTCACATGTCATATTTCATTCCTGCATGAAATATACACGAGTTCCGTGTGGACGGTTGAAGTCGGACTAATTGACTAATTGATACAGATTAATTAATTTTTTCTTCTGCTTCCGTGAGATTGTGCTCCTCCTTGCTTGTTGTGTTTGCACGCTCGATATGCCTTTTATATGGGAGATAATCGGTGCATGCCGATACTCTCTACTGGAGTTGTGTTCACTAACTGCGCGTCAGATATCTATCATGGCTTAATTCCTCGATATAAGTTGCGCTGCGACTACTCCTAACCTTGTACGTCGTTTGGATTTGTACCTATACTGTGGCTTGATTGTCTGTAAAGGCTTACAGACAATTTTTAAGCTCGCACAGAGTAATCTAAGAGAATTCATTGTCTGCTCTGCTACTTCTCCTCGTTGTGAGACCAGTATAGCGATATCGGGTTGATCATTCCATTCTTCGGAAATGAATAACTTATACCATACTCTGCATTTACCCAGGTCTTTCACTTTTACCTCGTCTCACAGATTTTAAACTGCTTGCCTGAAACAGGTTTTTTGGAAGCTGGACTCTATGGAAAATTCAATGCGCATGAGGAGGAGGTTGAAGAGGAATTACAAGGGAACAGATCATCACGGAGCAGCCGCTGATTTTGAAGAAGTTGAGGAAGTTACTACTCCGAAAGCCAAGATTGTTGACGCCGATGCCGCATTTGCAGGGACGCCCCTTCCTGCTGGTGCCCCTAAACTGATGCCGGAATCCAACATGCTTGAAGACACGGGGATCCAATCGTCAAGAAACTCTGTCGGAGATAGTGAGGAAAGAAAGGAAGAGTCTCAAGCCATAGATAATGGACCTCAAGACCCAAGTGCAAATACAAGCGAGGGGGGCGGAGTAACTTCTTCAACTGCAGTTCATTCAAGCCTCTCCATGGCTGCAGCCGCAGCTGCGATTGTTACGGAGCCGAAGGAGAAGCTGCTGCTGGAGATCCCCGGTGCGATGGTTCAACCTCTGAAAGTCTTAAGAGGAAGGTTCCAGGTAGGATAACTCCTACCTAATAGATGAAAACTTATATGCTGTCAATTGCAAAAGGTTGCTTCTTCAGACCTCGCAAGATGTCGCCTTCAATTGTGCATATCTTTTGATCCTATGACTGGTTTAATCAAGCTTTAAGTATCTTCGACTTTAGCTACATTTGTAATAGAGACTGAAAGATTTGGAGGTGCGGACTTTGGGATTCATGACTGTCTCTTGCATTTTTCTGTCGTTTTAAATGTTTCTCTACACGTATTCTCTTAAAAGATGTCTGTTATCAAGCAACTGATCAGCGGAGCCTGTTTTGATTGTAGGTGACCACCAAGCGTATCTGCTTCATGATAGACGATCGAGTCCACGTTGATGAATCAGGAATTGCCAGTTTGGATGACGATGAAGGCCCCCGCAGTTCTACAGATCATTTTGAAAAAGAAGGTGCAACGGGCACAGTGCAACGAAACGAAGGCGCTAAAGATAGACTTTGGCCACTTTCGGTCTTGTGGGAGATTCACAGCCGCAGGTAATGAGGTTGAAATTGTTTGTTAGCTCCGTTTGGTTCATTAAGAAGGCGTGTATGCTAGCAGATTCATCCTTTCTGAGTGATTGCATGATTGCAGAGTTCCCATTTCCTTTGTCTTTGTCTTCTCTCTAAGATAGACATGACGTAGTTTTTAATTACTCTCTGCGCGAATTGGGACAATGAAACCCCAAATTTTCAAAGTTGATGTTTAGTTAAGTGGGCAGGCAGCGGTTACCCAGGATAATTTAGGATCGATATCTCATGAAGTAGAGTAATTTTTTCTGTTAATGTATAAGCAGATACTTATTGCGGAGAAGTGCGCTGGAGCTTTTTATGGTGGATAGATCAAACTTCTTTTTTAACTTTGGAGTGAGTATCTTCAACTTGTCAGAGTCCAAGTTATGTTGAGATGATGGCTCATAAATGAGGGTCAAGGGTGAATTCGAGCTTTCAATTGAGGCATACCTTTGATGCGTAAAACATCCTGTTGTACATAAAGGTTACTTAGTTAAGGGTGATATATTTCGTTCAGCTGAAAGAAACTTTGCAGGTAACGCAGTGGATCTAGAACCTGAATCACAGTCCAACCTCGGCTTTCGTCGAAGTTGGACTGTGATTTTGTCTGTGGATTTCTGACAGTGCTCATATTGATACGCAGACAGAGGACAATAGGAAGAAGGTTTACAAGGCTTTGGTACAAGCAAGGCCACCACATTTGAATCACATATACGCCTCAACGCAGGTGCTACTCTGGAACATTATCCATCAAGTTATAGGAAGTTATACGGACATCTTGTGCAACTGGTGTTCAATGTTTTATTTGGTTCCTTTACCGGTCTCATCTGGTAACAGTATTCATCCGTCTTGGGTGCCAAGAAATTCAAGAATTTCAATCCAAGTCAAAAGGCTTGAAGTGTACAGGACTTTTGCGTCTATGCAGAGAGATTCATTTCGTGTACCTCTCCATTACCCTGTCTATCTTCTTGTGCATGGGAACTGGGCTCTTATCAGGTCTCCTCGCTCGTATCTTTTTGGTCTAAGTGTAACCACTAAGAGCAAAAGGCTATGGACAGCACTACCTTCCGGGGAATCAGAACAAACTATTAGAGTTATGTTTGGTCCACGTTTGAAAACTATTCACCAATAGAAATCTATGTATTATCGTGCTATCTCCTCCTTCAGATTGTTCTCTACCTCCATTACCTGCTTGCCCAGGCGTGGGCTCCGTCGTCTTCAGGCCTTGACAGGCACTAATTACCGATGAGTACAGTCTACATGTTTGGAGGGTCTACGACATCCATATTTTACCTGCAGAAGGGTGAAACGTTTCTCTGTTTTATATCATCTCTGTGCATCTGATTGGTTACAATACCAATTGGTTTGTGGTAACAAAATCAGCCGCAAGGGGAAACCGCAAGAAGAGTTATTCTGAGTATGGATTAATGTTCAATGTTTCTTTTGTTTCGTAAATGTTTTCGCAGAGGCCAGAAAGTTTGTTGAAGAGGACTCAATTGATGGAGAGGTGGGCTCGCCATGAGGTATGCATGCGTTAATCAGATTAGGATTTGCGTGAGCCACACAGTGGCCTACCTGGAATTTGACCAGGACGAGAATTAGCATTGTTTGTGAGCCAAATCCCGTTATCATTAAAGGGTTCTCCGTACTTTATATGGGATACCGTTTGCTGTTTAAATAGAATATTTCATCCATTTTTAATAAATCTTCATGTCAGAGAGTTCCGTTTCCGTAATTTTATTTCAGACTGCTTGTTGCAATATTCGTCTTGGCAAGAAGATCTACTCTTCTTAGGTCCTCTTGACCTGCTTTATCGTGACATTTCGTTGATGTTTTGCAGATAAGCAACTTTGAGTATTTGATGCAGCTGAACACTTTGGCTGGCAGAAGTTACAATGACTTGACGCAGGTTAAGCTCAACCCACCAATGAAACATGTGCTTGAATACTAATATTACTTTCGTTTGCAAGCTGAATTTCCTTTTAAACTGATTGGTACTAACCTGAAACTCACAAAATAGTGACTTTTCCATCACAATGTTGCCCTGCTCACGCATATCTTTTTGCCGTGCAGTACCCGGTCTTCCCATGGATATTGTCTGACTACACATCTAAGGTTTTGAATCTGGATGATCCAAACGTGTATAGAGACCTTTCGAAGGTACAGTATCTCTATCATCACAGATTTCATTATTGAATATTAGATTATTTTCACATTAGGGTGCTGTGCTTCACTCAGTTTGCAACGTAATCTTACTGTCGAGACTTTGATAGATATCCAACTGTATCTTCTTTTTTCCTGTCCATTTTATGTATCTTGAAAGCCATGACCTTCAACGTAAAAAACGTGAAAAGTCTTTCGGGTTTGTACAACGAGGTGGCTAACACTTGTTTCGTGCTGTCATATCTTAATGTAGCCGGTTGGAGCCCTAAATCCCAGTCGCCTTGAGAAATTCCTCGAGAGATATGATAACTTTGACGATCCAGTTATTCCGAAATTCCACTATGGATCCCACTACTCTAGTGCTGGAACGGTTGGTTGAAACTCCTTTTTCCAAGGGTTTTTGTTTATATGCTATTGAGAGTTGATTGTGGGGGAGGCACTTAATTGAGGCTTTGACATCATTTTCGCCATACCAATAATGAGACAAGAATGATGAGTATGCTGAACCGCTTGTTCAACTTTGAATTTTGATCTGGCCAGGTTCTCTATTATCTTGTGCGGATGGAACCCTTCTCCACTCTATCTATTGATATACAAGGTGGAAAGTTTGATCACGCTGATCGTATGTTCTTTGATATGTCATCCACCTGGAATGGAGTTCTTGAGGACATGAGTGATGTCAAAGAGCTGGTATGTATCCTTTTCCTTCTTTCGTTCCTAGTTTCATATGGAAGACCCAGGCTTGATCACTCCGAGGAAAAACGATTTTTTTCTTTGGAAGCCATATTTTTCTCATCAGTTATATATTTGTACATTGTGGTGCCAGGTTCCAGAGCTATTCTACATGCCCGAGATATTGGTCAATAAAAACGAAGTCTACCTGGGAAAGACCCAGAAAGGAGAAGTACTTGGTAAGGAATCCTGGTTTTAAGAGCGAGATGCGAAGCTCCTGATTCACATGATAAATATCACTTCGAGGGTTTTCAAAGGCGTTTCGCTTATCTTGCTTCATGAGGTGTACGATCCGTGTCAGTTCCACTTATCCAGTTCATCATGCGCATAGTTTCGCTAAGACCAGTTTCACCGTCGAATATTTCACATGTTGTTCGATATCCATATTATAGAGAATCTGAGTGCCTGGTTGAAAAGTTTCATAGTCTGGTAGACGTTGAAAGTTATGTCGCGGATACATGAACTTAGACCTTTTTGCGGTTGTGATTTTCTGTTCTAAACATGCTCCTTTCCAACTCATTACTTCACAGTCCACACAAAGTATTTGTCCTTTTGTCCGAGATATAGTTACTGTGACTTTGCTGACGTCGAAGGTCTGATCAATTCGGTTAACGATGTGGTAATGGCAAGACATATAGCTTAAGTTGGATAACTTGCAAGATGGCTACGTTTAAGTGTTGTTTTAACGTTTCCTTGTCCGGAAAACAATATAAGGATCACTGAGTGTAATGACTGAGCTTCTTTCTCATTTGATAGCTTGCTGCTGTACGGTTCACTTGCAGGAAATGTCAAGCTTCCTCCGTGGGCAGCAAATGATGTGGACTTTGTCCAAAAGCACAGGGCAGCTCTAGAAAGTGAATATGTATCAGCAAATCTTCACAAATGGATCGATCTTATCTTTGGGTAATTTTTTGAATTAAGGTTTTGCGATGACTTGCATCGTTGGGATGGAGGAATATTTGATACAGGAGTCCTTATAAATTTAGAACACAATGAATCAACTTATTTTTTATGTAGTATTTGCGTCTGCTACTGATTAACTTTTTGCAATCCTAAGTAGCGATCTGAGTTTGTTAACGGTTGAGTAAATGTGTTGATGTTATGCAGCTACAAGCAAAGAGGGAAAGATGCTGTTGCTTCTACAAATGTTTTCTTCTATATGACATATGAAGGAGCGGTCGACATCGACAAAATTACTGATCCTGTAGGGCACATTATCCACGTTGACCACACTTACTAGAATGTGATCGATGTGCTTGATGTTGATGCTAGCCGTGAAAAACATGATCAGCTGTATTGATCTGTGTACAACTTTCTAATTATTTTGGGGATTCTACACAGATCCTCCGCAAGGCGACTCAAGATCAGATTACGTATTTTGGGCAAACTCCATCCCAGCTTCTAACTACTCCTCATATCAAACGTATGGCTCTTGAAGAAGTGCTCCACCTACAGGTAAGAGAAGTTGATTTGCATATGCGACGCATAGTTTGATGATTTGAAGTTTTTTGTTTAAATGACACCAGTCTTGCCCTGTCTTTGGAGTTAAGCGAATTTCTCCTCCCCTGTGCAGACGATATTTCGGAATCCAAAGGCTACGAAGATCTACGTTATTCCGAGTCCGGAAAGGTTGAACGTTCCAGCTGCCAAACTCTGCGTCTCGCGAGACTCGATCGTTACCATAGGAATGGATGCACCAGCTTGTACTGTGGCCTCGCATAGATGGCAGCCAAACACCCCCGATGGACGTGGAACTCCCTTCCTTTTCCAGCATGGAAAATCTCATGCTAGTGCTAGCAGTGGGGCCTTTATTCGTATGTTCAGAGGGCAGACGGCAGCAACTGCTGATGAAGTAGGCTATCCACGCGCAGTTGCCTTAGCTGCCCCCGGTATTGACCCGGGTGCCGTTGTCGACATTTCACCGGATGGCCGACATCTTTTCACGGGTATGCTGTCTTCGGGACAGGCAGGGGTTAGCATGTGATAAGTGTTCATGTAACTAGTTCTTTTTATGTTCACTTCAAAAAATTTTGTTTTCTTTTGGTGTTTCGTTTCTGAGTTACCGTCATGTGGGCAGGTGGACATGCTGATAACACCCTGAAGGTTGTGTCGACTGAGAATGCACGGGTGATTGAGAGTGCATCTGGACATTATGCAGCCATAACTTGCGTAGCATCTTCTCCCGATGGTAGTGTACTTGTCACTGGTTCAAGGGATGCCACCGCAATAATTTGGCGAATTCATGGGAACTCTGGATCGGTCATCAGTGGGTCAAATACAGTGTCGGATCCCACCCTAGTGGCTGCAGCTGCGTCAGTCGGGCCAACGAACGCAGAGGGAGGTGATACAGGCGGTGGTGTTGATGGAAGGAGGAGACGTATTGAAGGACCGGTGCATGTGTTGAGAGGTCACGTGGATGAACTTCTGTGTTGTACTGTGAATGCCGATCTTGACCTTGTTGTGACGTCGTCACTTGGTAGGGGTGTTCTTCTTCATTCAATAACGAGAGGAAGGCTTCTACAAAAGTTGCCAATAGGTAGAGCGGATATCATTGCAGTGTCTTCGGAAGGGAACATAGTTTTGTGGGACAAGCTTCAGCGTATTGTTCACGCATTTACCATCAATGGGACTTCTATCGCTGCGAAAGTATTTCAACCCACAGAGGGTAGCATTACTTCCATGATATTTTCCACGGATGGCCTTCACATTGTTATGGCTACGAGTCAATCGAGGTCTGTCGATCCTGATAGTTTGTGGCGTGGTAAAAGAGTCCATGAATCAGATTCAGACCAAAAGGGTGCCGTTGACCCATCTTGTAGATATGAAACGGGTCAAGAAACCAACTCTGGGATGGAAAATGGTCAGCATCAAGGTGTAGAGGTCACTGATGCTGATCCAGCACCTACAATCATCATTTTCAAGACTTATACACTTGAGGTTAGTGCTCAAATACTCACACCACTAAGTTACTTATGCTTGATTTTCAACATTTCCCATTTAGGGACGTCGTAAGCCCCTAACTCCATACACCGTCTAACATCCCCGTTTTATTACGTCTTGCGTCTACGCGGAGCGGACGGGTGTCACTTTTTGATGTTTTCTGGCGAGTTATGTCTATGCATATCGTCTGAGTAGCATCTCCGCACATATTTTCTCGACTGTCTGGTTTTGAAAGATTGATGTGCGGACATTGCCGTATAAATTGGCTTCCAAATTTTCTGTACCACATGGTGTGAAAGAAACTGCAACTATCCTTCAATTCTGACTGAGTTTACCTTGGGTGTTACACAATGCAGGTTGTTCACAGATTTTGTCTTCAAAATGGACAGGATGTGACAGCGATGGCGATGAATGATGATAATACGAATTTATTAGTTAGCACAGCCAATGGGCAACTCCTTGTCTTCACTGACCCCGTGGTGAGTAGACGACTTCTGGACAGTTCTATGGACATGAACCTTCACCCACTTTGACATGCTTGACATGAAATCGTGCATGCGTCAAACCCAAGGGTAGCGAATAGCATGGAGTTTTGAAACACGAAATTGGGTTGGTTACGTGTAGAATCCACTTGAAAGTACGTAAAGACTACATTCGGTTTTGCAACGCTAGAAGTAAGACCAGAAACCAGATTTAGTCCCACCTATCCAAAAGTGGATGGTGGTAACTTGTGGCCCACAAACCACAGGTCTTTCTAGTAGCACATCTTGACGTTACTGCGTCGACTGGTTCGAGAGATCAGGTCTAGCGCAAATGTCCTGAGTCAAACCCCCTTTCTGTAGTTGCACATGCTCGTGGTCAAAAGTTGGGGATTGATACGGTTCATGTATCTACATGTTCGTCTCTGTGATCCTCTGTTTGGATGCCAGGTGTGCTTGATGTACTTGAGAAGAGGATTGACTCATCTCAAGCGGCAAGATTCTCAATTAGGGTGAACATGCAGAATTCATTCATTCCCTGAATTCACCTCTTGCTGACTTCTACCATATTTATTGCAGTGGTTATGAGGGAACTGATTCAATGATAGAAAATCAAAATACATACCTCTTGTTAGCTCTGCTTTGATTGCGGTTCAGTCGTCATCAATGAATCTAACCTTTGACTGTCTTTCAATGATACAGCTTAGCGTGAAGGTGGTAGATCAAATGTTGCGCCTTGGATGGGAGGGCGGTGGACTCGCTGGATACCTGACATGAGAACTCCGTTCCTTGTAGATTTTGGTACCCCCTTGTCATGTCAATTCCGTCCCTTGTAACATGAATATTGATCTGCTCAAATTTTTCTTAATGCGAACTAGCCCTTTCAGCATGTCCGTCTTAGACATAGTAAACACATAGCTACATACTCGCACAGCCACATGGTAAGGTCAGATTTTTAAGACCCTTCTACCCGTGGTTGCTGCAGCTCACCCAGGATAACAATTAGCCCAGAAGCCTGAAATTATTTGTTACTGAATGAATAAAGACTGCCTCATGAAGCGGTCTAATTCATCCATATTCCTTAGAAGGATTCAGCTCTTCTTTAGTGCTGGGTGGTAGATCAAGCACACAAAAGTGGAAGCGGAAAAGTTCTAAGGTGGATGATCTAGAAGTTGGTTCCCCACAGATGAGTAGTGTACTAAATAGAAAAATACGTCACCTTCTGTTCTTCTCAAAGGAGCAGTGGTATTCTTTGGAGCACAATATGCTTTCATTGACTGGCTGTGTGAGTTGATAGCTCTAGATTATAGCCTAAGATATGCTCTGTTGAGGCAGTGGGTGGTTATGATGTCTTGTCCATGAGGCAAACATGTACGTTGTAGTGTTTTTCCGCGATGTAGATAGATTAAGATCTCTTAGCGAGGATCATCAGAAATTTTGCAGTGAGAAAGGGCGCGGGTACTTTGATTCAGTCGTTGACCACGTGAATGGATGTCCACGCGATAAGTTTAGGAAGTTTTGCATCTTCTAAACGCAGGATATAATGTGCTGAATGTGTCCCCCTGTCGACTTTATTATTCTGTCCACAGTTTTCTATCCACATCTTGTGAATGCTTAAGCTTTCTTAACCCAAAGCGAGTCTTGTTAGTCGATTAAAATAATAAATTTATAATTCAAAACGGACAATTCGCCCATTTAGCTTTTATCAATTGGGGTGACCATGATCACGAGAATGTGATACCTCTTTACGGGCAATCTAAACCCAACTTGTGGCCATTCCACTGCATCCAGTAACTTTCTCAAGTCATTGAACCATGGAATCCTGGTCATATGATGGGACGGAAGATCCCATACAAGAGAACCTGTCTGTGTCCCAGCTCTTTCTATATTTCAATTACCTGAAGGTTTCAACACCGAATATTAATTTTCCCGAGAGTTGCCAAGGGCAATTCAAGTTAAGTCACGATGCAATTGTGATACTACGGTGGTTTTCTTAAAATTCGCTGTAACCACTTGGAACTTTAAAAGACTGTCGCGGGTTGAAATTTGTGTGAGTTCTGAATAGAATAAAATAAGAATAGAGAGACACACGTAGACTCACATGATTTGCTTGATTGATGGGATCCTTGCTTGATGGGACCTTTCAGGTTTCGTTTTAACCGATGGTATCCCATAAACGATGCACCGTCACCCATGTCCTAATAACGACTTGAGTTTTAGAGAAAGTGCAACGAGTCAACCACACCTGCGGGCAGAGTGGATTTCTCCCTCCATCACACTCATTTGTTTTTATTTTGTCATTCTGTATCCGGCCACTCCCCCAGATGACGAGCAAATAAATGCTCATCCAGAGTTCATTTGTTTGCCACAAATGGGTGACCGCGAGACTTGAGCTGGTACCACTTTCCGGTACGAGCTCCTCGTCGCATACCAGGGTTACGGAAGGAGTGTGCAAGCGGATGCAGCAGAGAAATCTGCGAATAGATGCGATTGGGAGAATTGAAGCAGAACAAATTGCACTTCGGCCAAAATCGATCTTTGTACTCGTGATAATCCACTAGAATTATAATTAGGAATTGATCTGTGATTGCATTCCTCATTGTAACTATCAATCATAGTTACAAGAACTATGGCCAACGACACACAGTCGTTAGGGTCCAATCGGGTAAAACTAAACCTGAGAGGTACCATCAAGCAAATCTGTCCATGATGGCGAGCCGACACACTTGATACATGTATCACGAGAGCGGTTCTCCATTCTCTCAATTCGCGTGAAATCAAAATTGAAAAAATCATAAATCAACCAGCATAGCACAGGGACAATACTTACAGATATACACACGATTCCAACTTCACATATAAGTATTAGTAAGTTTTAATTGAAAACTAAAATATTGTTCCATCTGACTTACAAATAGACACACTTGACATATACGTGTTAGTAAGTTTTAATTGAGACCTAAAATATTGTTCCATACTATTTATATCGTGAGTAGTGAAAACCCTAGTCTTTATCTTAAATCTAACTTCAATCTGAATCAACTAACTACAATTACTCTTACTCATTACATGAGTACAATAGCCTTCATAATTCAAATAATTAATAAAAGGAATTCTAACATAAGATATTCTCTAAACTACACTTAATTTGTACTAAATCGTAATCTATATATATATATATATATAAATATATATGGAGGAAACAAAAGATTCTAATAAAATTTAATTATGATACTCATGCAAAATCTAGTAGTAATTTAGTATAATAGTAGATAAATTTTACTAAAATTCTTCAAAGAAATATCTTTGATAAATGCATCAATTGGATTAATTTCATCCTTAATTTTCACTCATTCATTTAAATTTTCTGTTAGTCTTAATTTGTTCAATGTTTTTATCTGAATAAGAATTCATGATGAAGTGATACATTATGTCGACTAGTTTTACTCTTGTGTCTATCACTAGATTTGCAACAAGATAGAACACATTATGACTATGTCAGTGAAGATTGATAACCTCATATTTTATTCCAATTTAATGATAAGCCTATTCAAGTGAATATTTTACGTTGTTGTTTCTGTTGTTACATATTTAACTTCCATTATGGAATGACCTATACACTTCTACAAAGTAGATTTCTACTTATGCATGAAATATCAATTGCGAATTTATATATAGTTTTCAATTTATTATTGTCAAGATTCTATTTCTAGTGATCATCAACGTAGATTGACAATGCAATCTTATTGTTCAATGAAAAATAGTACATCCAAGTTTATGAACAAGGTCTTGAACTTCTTATAAGAAATAAGTTTATACTTTTTCCGAGATCAATTTGATGCCATCAATATCATCAATGTAAATATCATGATCTTAAAAAATTAATAATGAACTATAATTCAAATCATATAGAAGCTCAATTAATTCAATTCGATGATTCACTTGTAGAAAATTTTGATTAATCTTTATTGACTTGTGCATACATTTGGGACTTATTGACGATTATTGATTGATTGCTTCTCCAAATTTTGCTGTTTAGAAATTTAGTACATTTTCACCTTAAATATTCATTATCTCACGATGAGTAATTACATACATGAATGGAGATTTTGTCTTGTAAAAAAACTATTAAAAATTTTGTTTACTTTCAATAATCTAATTGTTTAGGTTAATTCTGGTTAAGAAGTAATCTCATGTGTAATTATTATAGCAAAGATTGATTGACTATGTTGAGTATATATATGCCCTTATATTTTTGTGTCGCGGGCATTGTCAAGTTTTCATCTGAACAACATAGTCTCTCGTGTGTGTTCTTCCATGAAAGTAACCCTTGAGTATGTATTGCGTTACTGTTGCGTATTTTCTGTTTATCTAGAATTTGCATATTTTACTATCGCTACATATTTCAAACATACAATTGGTTTAAGAGCATGACTTATTGAAAAAGGGGGAAGTTTTGAATCTCCCCGTATTGACAACGGGAAATCTTCATTCACGGATGTTGTTGTGAGGGGGTTTGATCATTCTATCACTAATGATCTATTACAAAAAGTAGCATCAATGCATGTGGAGCGAGTTCTTGAGCAAAAGGAACTACATGAGCAGTTTATCGTTCGTGAACCTATTGCAATAGTACCAAATGATAGAAATCAGACAAAAACGTCTACTAGGAGATCATAACGTACTAATAGAGTTCCAGAAAATTTTGATGTATGGATCAACTCATCCATTTTCAAAGATTGTGACCTTGATTTTGAGGATTAGGATGGTATGACGATGATCTTGAAAGAAGATGAATCTTCTTCATAAAGGGAAGCTCAAGCTTTGGTCAACAAGCTTGAGTGAAATGTTGTTATGGAGCAAGAGATGCAGTCGCTTATTGACAACAAGACTTGAGAGTTAGTTCAACTTCCTAAAAATCAGACACTTATTGATTCCAAGTGAGTCTCCAAGCTGAAAGACAATCCAGCAGTAGATGAGGTGAAAATCTTCAAAGCCATGTTGGTGGCTAGAGATTTCACATAGGAAAAAGGTGTGCATTAGATCAAAGTTTTTTTTGCATGTAGTAGAGTATGCTACAATTCGTCTAGTATGTGCACTGGCCACAATATTCAGTCTTATTATGGATTAGATGGATATAGTTACATCTTTTTTTGAATGGATATTTAGAGGAATAGATCTACATAGGACAACGAGTTAGCTTTGAGTTCAAAGATCAGAAGAGTTTGGTTTGTAGATTGCTGAAATCACTATATGGATTGAAGCAAGTAGATAGTGGAATACACAATTTGATGAGTTTATAAAGACAGAAGATTTTATAAAAAGCGTGTATGATCATTGTGTCTACATGAAGAAGATGAATGATGAGACGTTCAATCTCATCATTTTAGTACTCTATGTTTACAACATGCTCATCTTAGCAAAGAGCCAATCCGATGTTGTTGAATGCAAAAGTCAATTGAAGTCTTCATTTAAGATGAAGTATATGAGAAAATCGAAGAGTATATTAGACATGAATATTTAAGGAGATTTTAAACAAAAAAAGCTATGGTTGAGTAACGGCAAGTAAGTTCACCGTATACTTGACGGTTTCAACATCACCAATTTGAAAGTAGTGCAAACTTCTAATCCAACACTTTTTAGACTCTTTGCAGCTCAATCCTCTATAGATGTTGTGGAGAAAGTAAAAATGTCATGTACTAACTATGAACAAGCTGTAGGCAACCTCATTAAATACATGAGGTTGTATTTTATCAACATATCCTTGTTTGGATATGTTGATATTGACTATAGACAAGATTTAGACAAAATGAGATCTACAACTAGATATGTGTTTACATTTGGCGGTAGAAGTATTAGTTGGAGATATATTTTGCAGAAATGCGTAGCTTAGTCAACAACGGAAGTTGAGTTTGTGGTAGTAGAAGAAACGGTAAAGTAAACTATTTGCTTGGATAGGTTTATCATACAAATGAGATTGATACAAAACGTGGTCAATTTTCGTTGTGATAGCCAAAATGCTTTACATTTGACTACAAACCAAATCATGAATAGTAGAGTAAAATATATCAACATCAGCTATCACTTTATTAGACAAGTAGTATCTAAAAAAACAATTGAACTAATCAAGATCAAAAATAAATTCAATACATTGACCAAAGTTATTCTTTTGAAAAATTTTATGCGATATTACGCAAATTGTACATAGGAAGCACAAGATATATAGTTTTCAATTATCTTTGTATATTAATACTCTATATTGTTGTTGGAGTTTTTGTTTAAATATTTAAACAAAAACTAGTTATTTTAAAAAATTAATTGTTTTGTGTTAGATTTAAATTTATAATTTTTTCCATTATAATATAGATTATAGAGTTTACTAAAATTTTTAACATGAGTTAAGATGAAATTGTTAAATTATTTTTGAATATATTTTATTTTGATATGGGAATAATAATATGGATTAAAGATTTTATTAAAAAAATTTTAATATATTAAAAGAAAATTGTTAAATTCTTTCTATATATATTATTACTCTATCATATTATGATTCCAATTTAATTACTTTTCTTTTCAAAATTGAC